TGGTGCCGTACACCTATAGAGAACCGTGCAATTGCAATGCAATGAGTCCCGAGAGATTTCGAGTTTATCTAGACAATCATACACTTAGTAACTAAGGTTGGCCATGCATGTTTGATCAAAACAAGAAAGTCTTTGTGACTATCAGGAATTTTCATCTCAGCGACAGACCACAGGGAAAGAAACACATACTGCATGATGACTTGTTCATTAAGCCTGTCAACTTTAACAACTCTGTCAACATTAAGATTACTAAGTCGCAGATAACATTATCAGAATAAAGGGCGTGTAATTTTAAAGGAAAGTTCTGGTTTATAGCAAAAATATGTAACAGTGTATAGAATGCAATGAAATGCTTTCAATAACCCCCTTTTTAATCAATATTAGACTGGAAAAAGGTACTGAATCTACGAATATATAGGTATGTGCATGTTCCAGATCGAAGGGATATAAAGATAAGAGAATTGGAACTGAGGGAAGATATTATTATATATTTTATATCTACGCTATTCAAAGTTCGGGGCGACTTTTATGATAATGTTCAACTACAAAATTTTAGTAGTGGTATAATTCAATACAAAGATATTATGTGGCATCACTCAAGCAAATACAAATAGTGGCAGGACCTAGATATATGAATTGGAAGATTTATTAATATTGGTTTTTGACATTTATTTCTTTATCCTAAAGTGAAGATGGATTGTTTTTACGATCGAGAAACCTGAGTTATGAACAATCCGCCCCCACCTCCCACACCCAATTATATAGAGCTGACTTCGCGACTGGATACGACGATGTATTGAATGCATCATATATAGCTAATGAATATAAGAATTCCGACCATGCAATGCGCTAAATAATATTTCCAACCAATATATATCAAACATAGGCTAATATGATCCAAAAACCATTGTTACAAGTTGATGTGATAGCAAAGTACAAATGCATCTATATATTACATTATTCGCTGTCATAAGCATAACGCTTGCCGAGTTTTAATATGTTCCAACTCCTAAGTCAAACAGTTCTTTTATCTCAATGATATAAATCTATATTGACGCCATTGCATATAACTGTCGACGTAAAAACGGGCAAAATTATGTGAAAAACATCGGGTTGAGAGAAGTGCTGTATATATCCTGTCATTGAAACAGCTGAAATTCTTGCGCGCACGTAACCAATTGCCTTTGTATATGTTGTTGCCATGCATGGCAGGAAATAGTTGGCATTGCGTGCAAGGTGCTTCAAGATTGTGTTCCGATTGATTCAAAAAAGATGCAATGTCACTTTTGACTACAGTTATATATATATATATATGAGGGAAGGCCTCATCAAAGTCGAAACGAAAGCTACTTAGAAAGAGGAACATTCTGTCAAGATTACATTTAATTTATAGCAATAATTATGCTACAATGGATTTTTCCTGCATGTGATAAGTTCGCGACCAAAAAGAATGAATAGTGTTTTTAGTAGAGTAATGATATAAGCTTACTGCAAAAGCTATAAATTTAGAACTAATATGCAGGACGGAAACGCATTTGTGACCTTAACAACAAACAGAAATGCCTTAAGTTATGGGCATGACTATATCAGGACTTGCAAACTTTAATCTTACACCAACTTTAATCTTGCCAAATTTAATCTCGCTAAATTCAACCACATAAAAATCAAGTCATGCGTTGAGTTTTTATCTCAGCATCTTATGTCAACTTCACTCACGAAATTGACAATATTGAAAATAGTCTGAGATTACGTGCGGGAAGGCAAACATTCTCTTCCGAAAAAAACCTAAATAAGGAATTATGAAAGAAGATATTCTGCACCGCTTCTTTCCTGTAAGTATATGCAGGGGGGCTGAAGGGGCCCCTGACTTCAGAAATAACCTAAAATTAAAGCACCCACAAAAGTGTTGGACTCGGTTTATTATTCGCACACTAGTCTAAAGTACGAGTGACATTCATTTTAATTTCTAAGATACGTTAATTGATATTGTTTGTTTGTAAAAAGAATAATTTGCTAAACATTTTTAACATCGCTTTGAAGAACTTTATGCCTCGCAGAGATTTAAAACCATGACGTCATAGGGCCCAAGAAAAAACTTTGCCCGGGGCCCCACAATTTCTCTCAGCGGTCCTGAGTATATGCATCCAATAGAAATGACGGCATTTATTACTACAACAAAAGCTGCATGCTCCTACAAGTTGTTATTTTCATACATATGCGTGCGTAACACAATAAACATGTGTTAAGGAGGATGTGGATTTACCTTAATATACACACATTGCATGAACATTTATATTCCGATTGCTTATACAAACAAGACGGGATTAGGCATTAATTGTTAAGCACTTGATCCTAAAGAAGTTTAAGAGTTTAGAAATAGAGTTCCGATACGAAAATAGCGCAATTGTTTATATAACTTTTCGCTCCGAGGCAGTGATGCCTCGATGGTATCAATTGTAGTAGGCAAATTTCTACAACTGACGTCGAAAACATACGAATGGGGCAATCGTTCAAAGCCGATTACCAAAAACGCTGCATGAATTAATTTAAACGAGTTGAATGTATGCATGCGTTAGCTTGCTTCTGCATTTCTGCGTATAGCAATTTGTTTGCAATGAAACAAAAAATGCATGGCTGATAAATATATGTTAAACAAAATGTAAAACAACACGTACACTACAGATTTCTAATTTCAGTCAACGTAAGACGTAGAGAAAGTTCAGTCTATGTATATATATATTGTGCTTTGGTAACATCTATACAGAAAGGATGAAAATAGATTGTTTTGTCAGATGTTCACAGTGATTACTTTCGTGCGCATACCTAATTATCTATGTATCTCTGTTCCGCTTATAACCGCTTAAATCCGGTATGCTTTTTTTGGCCGAGGTTTCGTATGAATTCGGCTACATTCTCACGTTGGCACATAGAATTATAGCCATGCAGTATGAGCAGTATATACAACAATTCTATTGGCTGATATACGAAAAAAAGGCAGAGCACGAAACCATTGCCAAGATAAGCAAACCCTACTTCCTGAGTTAAACAAGTCACGATATGTATAGTTATGCCCAGGAGACTATACACACGTACTGGTTACAGCTTTGTTTAAAAGTGATCTGTGAATAATACGACATGCGAGCTATTTATAATTCAACAAATTCAAAATTATAACCCGTCTTAGGCCACTTCGCACTCAGCGCACGGCAAAGCCCGGGAAAATCAGCGGAGAGGATTAAAAATATCATATAATAAAGAAGATTTAAATAAAGAATAATACATGGATGCTTGGAGATATGGAATTTATTTCGGGTGTTGAGAATGATATCGAACGAGTGAGCGCATGCACCATGTAATTTTTTTTTTATTAAAAATTTTTAATCCCCAGGAAGCGTATACCTGATTCCAGATTGGTGGATAAAACACGATGATCGCACATGTGTTATTATCGGTTTTCACAATGCCGGATTCCCCAATAAGACACTGCATATTATATAATAAAATATATTATAAATATAACATTTATAGTACGCGCGTGCTGATTGGTCGAGAAGCGTGTTTCAGTATTTAACAATTAGTCAACGAAGGCGAGTTGTCTAATTGTTTTAGTATACACCCTGTACCTAGATATATTAATTTCGAGAAAATGATCGATACACCGCAATTACACCGAAAAATAATTTAATTAAATCAATTTTATACGGTCGCGCGAGCGAATTTTTCCCAAACGTTCACCATCACGAATAGTCAATGGTTGAGTAGCCAATCAGAATGTAGGATTTGTAATAGACAACAGTCGGGTGTATACTAAAACTGTATAGAAACGCGGGAATTCTCCCGCCGAACTTGACTAGTGAAGCGATGTAATGTGAATTTGTAATTGAATCGAATTATAATATATGTACAAAATCTTTTTATTGAGTTATATTATAAAAATAGAAAAAAAATTTTCCCGTGTTTCTATATACAGTTATAGAAACCCCGTGGGAGTTTGGAAGAACTCGAAATAACGTACAAATAACACTGATTATTTCTCGTTCTCCCGAGCCCGTAGGGCGAGTTTTTCCACGTTATTTCGAGTTCTCTCAAACTCCCACGCGTGTTTCTACGCATGTTTTGTTTTTCTTAAAGATACCATAAATACCATGGAATAAACTTTGAACTCACTCTCTTATTTAATAAAAATTATTTTCGCGCACTATATTATTTTCGCAAAAGAAGCATAAAAAAAATGGCAAAAAAGTGCCGACTGGCCAAGATAATCAACTGCCTTTGGCCTTGACCCGTCCGTTGTGAACAAAGTATCCGAACTGAAAAGAACTTTATTAAATATCAAAGATATTAAAGATTAGGAGTAAGAACATCACTTAGCAAATGGCTTTATTCTGTGAGTTTTTGTAATTTATCGCTTAGCTTTTTACCCAATTACGCCATCCAAAACGCGGGCACAATAGTAAAAAATGTTTTCCATACTATCATTGAACCTACTATAACAGATAATATGTTCCTTTTTAAGCTGTATGAATGGTGGCCTACCCCATTGGAATAAAGGGGATACTTTATAATCGACTTATATATACATATAACGTAATAATCAAGCCGAGTCGAAGTATATACAACAAACATTGCATGGGTGCATGTGAATTAATCCCCTTGAATTCATCCCTTAAGCTAAACGCCTTTCGAACAACCGATCCCCAAAAACAAATTGTGACAAGTATAATTTCACCAATTCATTCTGACACTAAACGTCATGGTATAAAATTATGATAGTAAAACTTCACCACAAATATTAGCTGCTTCATTGCAAGCAATTTTAATGTTTATGTGTTCATATATTATATTATACAAAAATAGTGCGTACAAGCAAATATTTACGTGTGAATCGTTATCAGATACTTTGTATATTAAGTGCCTACATTTGCAGTTCGCCGATATAAAAATACTGATATAAATATACTCGTCAAATATTAATTAAAAGAACTATCGGATTTCGAATTTGCGGGATCTTTTGTTTTGGCGTCTGTCACCGACACTTACTGCTTGGCATCGGACGTAACATTGGATTAACAATATTGTGAGGCCACTGAGCGGCTTTGCGAACGTAAATTGACAAAAAAAAAACATTTGCAAAAAATGTCCCTGGCGCAGAAGATAGGGGAAAAGTGATCTGCTGGAATGCGAGGATGATTCAATCAGATTATGCGCCCTGTAAATTATATGTTTGAAAGCTTACCGAAAAACTGTATTTCACGTTGCCTTGACAGAATTTTCTTCTGGTTTACAGCGTAGCATTAAAGAAATCCTTCTACATCGCCCAATTATATCTCCATTCCAAATTGACAACTCAGGTGGAAGAATTTCATGCGTAAATTCGTAGCGAATTGCATTCCTTAGATAGACAAAATCGTATATTATAATTGAACTTATAATTTAAGTTACGAAAAGAGAGGACTTCAAAGCAGAATTTTACGATTTCTAATATTTACGGAAATGTTGCACCAAAAAAATGTGAAGCTGACAAAGCCCTGTAGCTACATTTTACCTGCAAATGTATAAAGATCTTCGAGGGAGGAGGGCGTCTATTGTAACACGATTGAATCTCTCGTGGCGAAATCGCATTATTGACGGTGATAGGAGGCTTAGTCCAGCAATTGTTGAACCACAGAACTATAAAAATGATGCAGAAACAGCAGAATATTAGTAATCCAAAGAAATTCAGAACGAGACTGAAGGTTTCGTTATATTAGTCTTGCATTTAGGTTAACACATGGACATGGTTGAGTATAGCAACCATAATTATTAATTAAGCAGTCATTTATATAGTATGCACAAATATATAGTGTTATGGTCGTATATTGTATATGTAGTGTTAAAGGAATTGTTATGAAAATGTTAATAGTGTAGTATCATATAGCATAGGGAATGCAGGTTTTGAGGTAGCACGTAGCAGCAACCGCGAAACCACACAATAAGATGTACCACGCAATAAGCCGGATAGTTGTGTATTAGAGCGTGAATTATGGTAAAGTGTTGATTCCTGAATAAAAAATGTTAAAATATATACAGTCCCAGAGTGTGCGATTTTGGACCACCGTAGCGGAAAATCAATTGTTTGAATATTTTCAACAGGTTTAAGGTTACCGCGTAGAAGATTAAATATTGCCGTGGCTTTCATGAATCAGAATAAATAGATTAGTAAATTCCTACTAGGAAAAACGTAATGCAGAGAACGTCTTAAAAGTTATATAAGCTTGGAGGCAAACATGGACAATTTTCTGCATGGCTTTTATTCACATACGAAAACGATATGGAAATCAGATTTTGCAAGTTCCTTCCTCCCATTTTGCCACATTGAATCTTTCAAGCAACAATAGTATATACTAGTTTGACATGAACATGAACGCTACATTATGAAGGCTGGCGGAATTGTACACCAACTTGACTAGAATGTTAGCCTACGTTGACTAAAATCCTAGCCAAGGTCAAAAGCCCCATTCGTATTGAGCAAGTAATATCATAGTTACTTTTTGATTTTTGTTATTTTAGATAGCAAAAATACTTTTAGTTAAAAGCAAACAAACAAAGAATACGTTAACTGACGGTTCACATTTTCGCTTGTGATTTCGAAGAAGTTTAAAGTTTAAAGGGTTTGTAGTCGGCATCATTGAGAAAAGTCGAATTGAATTTTCCTGAAGAAAGTCTTAATTTATAGTGTTATATGTAGATTATTACGTTTTACCACCATAGATTGTAAACATGCAGATTAATCATGCACAGCGTATTATGCTCAGACGTAGAATCAAAATTTAGAAAGTAGACCACTATTTCTTATCTTCTTTTACAATATTATTTACTTGATTTCTAATGTTTATGATAATGATTACAAATGATCGTTAGAAATTAACTCGTCGTGGAAACTTGTTCAGAACAACCTGAGCATAAAGTGACTAACAGCGCATGCTCGGCAAATGCCTGAAATGTTCAAAATGGCTTGGATTTCTTGCTCATACATTTTTTATTACTTGATTTTAAAAAAATTTCACACGTGAAAAATGTTCATTCAATTTGCGTTTTTTATTACAAGATGCCAGTAGAATACACGTTGAAACGGATTAATTTCATTCGCAATGATATATAAATATGCACAACATGTCGGTAGATTTACCTTTACACTATCAATATGAGGCTTGATGAATCTGAAAATACATCACAATACATTGTAAAAACATTTGTACTGTAAAGAGTTGAAGATTATTAAACTTAACCTTGTTAACAACGCTGTTTGCTATGGATTTCTAAAGAAATTTAAATCAAAATCTACCGATGCGGTTGGAGATTAGAGCTTTAGCTTGTAGCTATTTTCGCTACAAGGTAAGCATCAAATGCGACGTGATTTCAGTGATAAAGTCTCTCCGGTCCAATGATTGGATGAAGCTGATTTGGTACATTTGCATATATGGTGATTAAAATGGGAACGGCGCATGAGAAAAACACTTTCAAAAGGACTAGGGAAAAACGAGAGAAAAATGCCTTTTTTCATTTGATAGTTTAGTGTAAGGAAAACGACGCCTTTTATGCGGTGTGTTTTCGGCCTTTTTAGAGTTATCATTCCAATCTACATAGAGTTCACTTGTTAATAACCAGTGGCGTACGACAGACGATAATTGGGGGGGGGAGGGGGGCACATTCATGTTGACTGCCTTGTAAAGACAATTAATCTTGCACAACATGAATATATATGCCACTGTTAATACCCACCCTTTGAAATCCAAGTCTAGAATGTGAACGTAAGGCAAAAGTGTGTGCGAGGAATCAAACGAGGCCTCCTTCACTCTTTTGAAGACCATCATACAAGATTTGGACCAATTTTCTTTTTCACTTTCTCTATACCCATGAATTGCCTGTAGTTCAATATAAAACATATGGTGTATTTTTGTTACAGTATATAGTATATATAAGGCACTTTAGACAGCCATTATAATCAATAATTAGCATAAATTTGAAAATAACAGTATATTAGCTAAGACATGGTATCTCAATGAGAACGTCAGCAAATATACAGTCATTCTGCAAGCTATTTTGCAATTTAAGCATTTTATAACTTTTATTCACAACAAAATGCGGAATATAGGAAAGATAACTACCAAGGAAACATGGCCACAGGTACCTCCATCGTGAGATATCACCAGTGACACTACTCATCTCCTGTGACACTGTCTTGTGACACACCCCTAACTTTCAGAGCACTAGCTATGAATTTTGTTAACAGCCCTAATGTTATTGTGAATATATTAACTGACCAGTTGAATACAATAAAAAGTGACCCATATTTCTTGTCATGCCGAAAAGTTAATCATGATTGTGTGCATGCATGAAAATAGGGCGATACTTGAGAGTCAAAATATGAATCAAGGATGACACAGGTTGAAAGTCACGGGTTTTTATAAAAAAGTGTTTTTCTTAAATGCATATAAATCATGTTAGGTATCTTTTGGTATCTTTCCAGCTGCCTTACTACCACTTCATGGTCCATTATCCATTTAAGGCTGGTTTCATATGTACTAATTATATACAGCTGTCATGTAATGTTTAATGATATATGGCTCTTTTTTGTACAAAAATATTGATTTATTCATCATCTAAAGCACAGCTAAACTAACTGTTAGGGAAGATGTTTTGAGAAGTAGTTAGAGAAGACATCCTGTGTATGTTGATTTGTATTATCATATAAATATTATTTTTAAATACAATTCATTAGATTGTATTTATTTAAGCCCTACATATGGAAAGTATGCATACTGTATTCTTTATTATTACTGGGGTGTCCAATCACCTTAAAGAATTCCCTTTAAATTAAATATATATATATATATATATATATATATATATATATATATATATATATATATATAGCTTATTGACTTACGTATATTGCTTATGTATATTGCTTACAGACACCATTATGAGATTATATAAAAGGTCTGTTTACAAACAAGAAATTGTATATGTGCTAAATCTGTGATTGGGCCAGATAAATTCGCATACAAAGAAGAAACTAATACAACTGATACTCTAATCATGCTTACGTACATCATTTGCTGAAGTTGCTGGGCGATGGTGCAGACTCTGTCAGCATGGTAATATCTTTCAATTATAAGAAATTGATGGCATAGAAGAAAAAATTGGCTAAAATTACAAGGTTTCGCATTTCAGGACAAATCCATCCTGTTAGGATCTACATTGATAATCTCCTACACACGAGGGGGTTGTACATAATGAGAGGGTGTAGATGCTATGGTTACCCTACTGTGCAGTTAGCAAATCATTCCATTTGTTTTTAATCATGTCACTATTTTATTACTGCATTGAAGTGTGGGACTCTTCACTCCAAAACAAATATTTAGATCATAGAGATAATTAAAGTTCCTCGCCAGGCATATCGTTATGGCTATACAACAAAGAATACTAAGATATCTGAAGTTATCGGAGAAATAAAAATTATTAATATAAAATTGTATCAATATCTAGGGAGATTTGTTTGTTTTTGTTTAATTTATACCCATGATTAGTCCTAACAAAATTCTACTTACGTCATCCCAATGTTCATTTTGGTAACTCCTCTTCTCCAATAATGCCCTTACTTCGTCATATAACATTGTTTTTTCTTCTTCACTTATAAAGTTATCTGAAACAAGCAAATTACCAGAAATACGACTTTCAACAGCATTCAATTCTTCACCGTCACATCCCTTCTCTGCACTGATATTTACTCGATCACAAAATTTGGAAGGAATTGTGACAGCTCGTCGTATAAAACAGCGTGAAATAAATATACTGTTCAAGTTACGGAGAATCATATTTAATTAACTACCATAGTCCATAAACGTTATTCTGTTTATGTATATAAAGTCAGTGGTATAAGTAATAAATCTAGTAAAAAATAGATACGCTAAGCGTACATTCACAACAATCTAGTTTGGACAGCAAATAGCCATATGGATTTGGCCATGTTTTTTAATTTCCCGTCTACTGGTGAATGGGACTTGATGATTACCCACACTATTTTTTTACCGCTGTTAAGCAATAGGAAATATGCTCAGTAATATGTAGTAATGTCAGTCATGACAGTAATGTAGACGTGCTCTGTTTTGAGAGTTGGGAGGTCTTTTAGAATTACAAGGAACTTTTAAAATTTACACTAGATGGTTAATGGTTTCAATAGTTTGTTGCAATTCACAATAGGTGGCATTTTTGGGACGCCCAGTAGCACGAGAACTAAACGAAATATTTTTGAAAGAACTCGGGTTTTACCCTGAACAAACAAAAGTGAGCGATTGGCTTATTTTACTGTCTCATTGTTCTGTTGTATTGTTCTCTACAGTTTACTAATATATATACACACCCCAATATTTGTGTATGATTTATATTCAATGTCTTTCTTGATTATAAGAAGGCATTCGACCTAGTCGATCCATCACATATTAATTGCAAAATTATTAGGTCTCGGTGTCAAATTTAGTGTAGTAAACTGCATCACTGCGAAGGTAAAGGGTGAAACTAAATGAAAATTGTTTCTCTGATTGGTTAAAAGTTCCGCTGGTGTCTTTCAAGGTACACGACTTAGCCCCTGAATTGCTTTTGGCCATGATAAACGATCGTGCTTTACCTGAAGACACTTCCACAATGTGGAAATTCGCCGATGACACCTCGTCACCGAAGTCGTTCGGAATTATATAGTATTCCTATATATAGGATATATACATACTATAATATATAATGCCTACATTGCCTGAACACTGTCAGGTACGCGAGTCGCCCGTTGCGTAATATACAGGATTTTAGTTAGCATTGATAAATTATACATGTTCAATTTAATCAAAATACGGATTGCTTTGTTCTAGCTAATTTTTCAATGTTTTAGTGCACTTTTATTTCAAATAAAACCATTCGCCATTGGGCTGTCTATGTGAATATGAATTCAATTTTACACTGTCTGTGACGACAATTTGAGTAAGTTGTTATTTTATTTGCTACTCTAATGTAACTTATGTAAGTATCGAGTTAGTTATATTTTTTAAGAGTAAAGACAAACAAAACATACTCAAAAAATACGTCCACATCGTAACCAATTTATGGGCGGTATTGACTATATGGGCTATGCCTATTGAGACTTTAGTCTACACTAGACCGTAACCCTACCCAACGTTATTAATCGAATCTTAATAGACAAGTTATAAAAGCCATGATGAGTAAGTGCATAAATATGCTGAGGATTCACTCACTACTCAGTCAAGATAAGCAATATTGGTCTAAAAATTAGCTCCTTGGCTTTGCAGTTTAAGCCTATAAAGCCTATAGAGGCTAAAAAATATTAAAAGGCATCCTCGTCCTGTAAAGTTGTTGTACAACTCTGGCACTAGCCAAGATGCTGATTGATTACAGGAATTTCCACACAGGGAGCATAAGATTTTGAAAATATGACAGAAAAAATGACCTTTCTCAACATTGGTGCAGATATTAATTGGAAATGCCCAATACTATAAATATGCTAACTGTTTAAAAGATTGCGAAGTAAACATGCTGTCTGCATATTAACTGATTATTGACTGAGGACAAGGTCTGTTCTGGACCAAGCGATGAAGGAGCGAGGTTCATATATGTTTTAATATGACCATGTCTCATAGATCAGATCGAACAAGTGAGGACAATAATCTGTTTATTATATGGCTGAACTGCATGGAATGTGATACTGGTCCAGATAAGGAACATATGGACCATGGGCCGGTTATGGGACGGATATATTACAGATCACATATAATAAACAATATTATTTTTCTATATATATGTTTCAAAATAAACATACAAAATAGAGGTTCGATCAGTACCAAAAAGATTTGAAACATTGGAAATTTCAAATAAACAGCCCCCTCCTTGAACCTGTTGTTATATGTACTCCACACCCATGTTCATTTTGCCAAAGCCAACCCCTGTAACTGCACCCTTGTTATTACATTGCTAGGTTCTGAATCCTGGTTTGGCTTTATAGCCGTGCTTCTAGACCTTAATTAATCTGGAAAGACTTGAATTTATTGGTCATGTTGGCACAAACAAGGCTATATAGGTCTCATATTTGCCTTGAATAGCTATCATAAGATCAGAATTTCTAACATAAACAACCAGAAATTCAGGTTGTCATGTTTCATCGTTGCATCTAATATACAACATTCAAACAGGCATATAGGCCTATAATTTGATAAAAATTTGCCTAACTTTTCTAGTTAGGGAAATTTTCATAATGTTCTTTATTGTAATTTATTCTGCCTATAACTCCAACTCCTCCCTAATTTGAATAAATCTTGTTTTCTCTTGGTTGAATATATCGGATTAACTCGAATTTGGTTTCGAATCATAGATTGGCAAACTTTAAAATGTGAGAAGATAGCATTTTCACAACTGGAAACTATCAAAATATAAACAACCAGGTAATCAGTGTATAATTGTATAAAGATTAAAAAGATTATCTGTAGTGCCATGATCATTATTGATCTATAGCTTTTTTAGTTCTTTTTGTAACATCTCTACATATACTTCAGTTAACTTTAATGTCCAGTTAACTTTTATGGTATCGCTGCTTTAATCAGTATTTCTTATTATATAAAGCAGGATTTTTTAGCACATAAATACATGAACTCCGGCAATCCAATGTACGAAAATATAAACGTAATCACTAATCTGACACCAACCCCAGATTAACTCGAAACTAAAGTTTAATTAATTCTACATCATCAAACCGGCACTCAAAATCCTAGGGAGCCACCTTAAGCAAAAATGTCGGCTATTTTTTTTGCTACTCACCCACACTGAGTTGTTAGTGCTGATGAGTATCTCAACAAATCAGATTGCAGAAAGCTCATTTACAGTGAGTAGCTATATAAAGCTATGTACACACGATAACGTTTTCGGTCGTTTTTATGCCAAAACAGTTATAGAAGCTACAGCTAATTTAACATGTTGAGAATATTTTCCCTTGAATCATGTGGACAGGGCGTCAAAACGATACACTAGACAAAAACGATTTTGAAAACGCTCGAAAACGACGCTCATGTGCTCATGGGTCATAGCCTTTTTCTCTAACATCTGAAACCGTTTCTGTGAGTTTGTTTGGGAGTTTATTCTTTTACTGAGAAGTGTCACACATGGTTCTTTTATACCCTTGACTTGCTGATATGCCCGTATTATTTATTAATGTCAGAATATATTTTTCACTACAAACAGCAAACTGGGTCCAATACTATGCTTTAAGGGGCACAAATTGAAGGTCCCGAGTATAGCGAGAATTGACCTCCATTCATAATTCCTTGAATGAAAAGGCCCAGTTACACGGTGCAATTTTTCTTGCAACTTGCAATGCTATTCTTCTTTTGAGAGAGATAAATTTAGCAACTACGGAACTTCTGTCTTTATTACACTCCCTGGCGTTTCTTACACTTACATTTTGAAGCCTCTTCACTAATTTACAACTCTCAAAAGTAGAATTGCATTGCAAGTTGCAAGAATCAATTTCAACTGACAAATTTTTTTAACGTTTTCGTCTTTCATCTTCGCCGGCTTACCGAATCGAGGAAATGTCGATTGCGCCGAAATAAATAAGCACGTGGATAATTTCCTTTCTACTGTATGATGAATTCTAATATGTGGTAAATATTTATTGTTTTTATTTAGTACCCACGATATCCTTTCGAGCAATGAGACCACTAATGAAACCACTTACGGTGGTTATTGGTGTTGTTATTCTTAGTGCTTTTTTCATACTGTACAAAATTTCCAGCAGTTGGAATCTGCCAGCTCCCTACTTCCGTTGCAATCCAAGCATGAGACGGCATGGTTTGAAGAAAGGACGAAATTTTACCATTCTTGACTGGAGTCCCACTTTCTTCAGCAAAGAAAACGGTCTTCCAGTGAATGTCTATTTCGACAATTGCCTCATAACTAGAGACAAGTCGCAGCTCGAGAACAGTGATGTCGTCGTGATAGAAGTTCGAGGCATACGGTACTTCGAGGATATGCCAGAAGGACGGTCGCCATGGCAACGTTGGGTTTATTTGAATATAGAATCGCCGTTCCATGCGATTTTAGGTGAGAGAGATTACACTATGGAAGATTTTACTGGAAAATATGCGTTCAACTGGACAATGACCTATCGCACGGACGCGGACATCCCCATGTTGCACGGTTGGAGAGTGAAGAAAAACCAAACCGAGAGGATGAACACAAATATCGACAGCATTGTTCGTAGCAAAACGAAACTGGCGGCTGCTCTAATGAGCAATTGCTATTATGTCAAAAATGGTAGGGATATATACGTCGAGGAGCTCCAAAAATACATGATGGTCGACGTGTTCGGCAAATGCGGTACGTTGAAATGTCCTGGACACTACACAAAGAACGCATGCGAAAAGGTTAAAGAATACAAGTTTTTCCTCGCATTCGAAAATTCAAACTGTAGAGACTACGTGAGTTTTAAAATCTGGATGCAGGGTTTTGGAAACAATGCAGTTCCGGTGGTGTTTGGAGCCAATAAAGAGGACTACTCGAAGCGCGTGAAAGTGCCCCCCAATTCCTTCATTCACGCAGATGACTTTGAGACGCCAAAAGCGCTAGCAGAATATTTGAAAATGTTAGATAAAAACGAGACGGCTTACAGGCAATTTCATCTTTGGCGAAAAACGTACAAGATAGATTACGATTATCGATTTATGGGCACATTTGCCTGGTGCAACCTCTGCTCCACCCTGAACAGGCGATGCAACGAGGCGCCAAAATGGCATAAAACGATCACCGATTTTGAAAATCCCGCCAAAGATTGCCACCAGAATAAGTGGGTGGAAACTCAATGCGAAAACAAAACATGTAGCCCTGAAGACCGCAAAGACTAGAGATAGGCACGTGCGTGCATATGCGTATTGTGGGTAGTCCTATAGGTCTTAGTGCCGGTGTTGATGCAATAGACCTTTTCAGCTTGTAGCTTGCATGTAAACTAAACTCATTTCAGATGTTTAAACCATGGAATAGCCAATAAAACTTAACCATTTCATTTGAGATGGGTTAATTTGCATACAAGCTGAAGATTAGACGAGTTAAGCATTTTGTGCCACGCACCACTCTATAAAAATGTTATACAATGCAAATGACTGTGCAGCCATATTTCGATTACTGCAGCCCGCTATGGGATAATTGTGGAATTAGCCACAAAGACAAGTTGTTGCAAAAATATCAAAATCGGAAAGATTTTGGTTTGAAGTATAAAAGAGATGTCAGATATCACCTATAACTTTAGAAACAGAAAAACTGACCTAGCACCAACTATGCCAAAAATATAATTTGGCAAAAGGTTGTTCAATTATAATGCAGCAACGCATTGGAATAGTCTCCCACATGAGGAAAATATTGAAACGGCGGAGCGGGGGGGGGGGCTGAGGGGCTAACCCCCCCCCCCACTTTGTATTTACAGTAAAACCAAATGATGTTTACACTTCTCATTTACTGAGCAGTGCTGAGTATTTGGAATCGTTTTTATAACATCATAAGTAAGAGTAAAGATGTAGCCCCCGCACTTGATATAACGCTCCGTCGTCTCTGCGTATACACGCATACAAAATGCATTAAAAATGTATTCTTATGCATTACTAATGCAATCTCGATTGTGATTGGCTAAAAACCTACAGATAATTATCAATGTCTTGCCACCTACAAGACATTGAAAATTATCCGTAGGTGACGTAATTTTTTGCCGCTAGTTTGTTCTCAATAATGGCACAGGCTTCCTCTCTAAAAAGAAAATACATAATAAAACAATTATTGAATTCGGTTTTCGCATCATATCGAGAATTATCAAGCCTCAGTTTGCATTATCCTCAGTTTGAATAATGCAAACGTCGGCTTGATAATTCTCGATATCACACTCAACCTCATCCAATAGTTGTCAATCACCGCTTGGACGTCCTGTGGCCGAAGCGTCCTTTGATTTGTTGCCATAGAGACAAGGTATTTTTTAATTCCAACAGGCAACATGGACATGGTCGAAGCGGAGGAGCGCAAAGTCAAGAGTAAATATGTTTAATTTTTTGCCGAAAGAGAAGCGTCTTTTCATGAAGTGAAACAGCAAATCAGATGTCTTCGAAAGGCTTTCGCGGTGCACCTTTCGGCGTCCAAAGCGCTCGGTAAGAAGCGACTATATGTTAAATACACAAGTATTGTTAACTAGTCGTATTAAGAAGTTAATTTTCCTATTTGTTTGTCGACTGATCAACCGTCAAGAGTCAAATTGTAGATTAGAAAATGCATTTGGTGTAAGTTTAAAGATGCGTACAGTGTGTTTCTTCTCCCTAACGCTTTAAAAATTTTCTTAACTAACACCAGCATTCCGAATATCCAAATAAATCAGGTGCGCAAGCTTGCCCGTGTGACAAGACGCAACAAGACCCTGTTAGTTGTTGTTGTATATAACTTTAGGTTCTATACAATAATAATTCGGACCCACAGGCTTGGATAGTAACACCTAGTGGTAATGCATATTGCATATGATGTATCAAACAATATTACTATATTATGAGTGAATTTAGTAATATATATTTTAGGTGGAATTGAGAGATAAAGGCTGATAACAATGTCAATTAGTATTTTTTACCGATTTTCCCTATTATAGCATAAATGATAAACTGCTTGGAAATCCAGTCAATACAATGCCCTGTTGAAGCATGCATTGATTAGAAGTTCAATATATACTTGTTACTATGTCTCATATTTTTCAAACAATATATAAACATTGAACCCTGACAACCTGACCTTTGTTCCAAGCCTCTTTCTTATTGAATAAAACCCTATGTTGAAATCTTTTTGGCAAATATCGACAATACATTGCAGTGGTACAAAACTGATGTACAATTTACCTAATTGGCAGATGTACAGAGGCAACAATGAAAATATCTATTTTTAAATTGTTGACTTGTTTAGAATTCTCTGATCGCAAATCTCTTAACTCTTTCTGCATCACAAAACCACTTTGGAATAATATGCGATAATAATATGCAATTTGTGCACTAACTTTGAGAGCTACTATAGCGCAGATGCTACTGGAGGTCGGATCGAAGGTCAAGATAGAAATTAGTGCTTCAGTGTAATTTATTCTGTATGGTTTCCTTTTCTGTTGGGTGGGCACTGATCGATCAATTTGATCCTCACATGCATCAGTTATGCTGAATGTGTTGTATGTATATAAATAAACACAATGAAATAAAATTCCAAGGCCATAATGATTACTTGTATGAATGTCCACAAATATGTTGTGATGGCTGAGCTAAATTTTCATAAACACTAATATAATCAACCTAATTTAATTGATGTTTAGATTTGACGTGTCTGGTTTACATCCTAAAAGCAAGACACCTGGAACCTTAACTCAAGTCGCCTATGACAAAAAATCCATCAGTGATCTTGTGAGTACTTGTGTCACATGCTTGAACACATAAAATTTACAGACGGATTATTAATCATACCATGAAGATGCAAACATAACATTGCAGGGGTCTGTGGATCACATGCCTCAAAATCTATGAAGGGAGCTGAAGAAACTACGTACATAGTTGCCGGCTTTTATACCCCTGGTTTAAATTTTAAAATTTGTGGGGTTCAAATCGAAATACGGTGTTATCACTGTAATCACTAATGCTATTAGCTATATTGGAGGAAGATTGAGCACATTTCCATATGTAACGCCTGCAGTGATCTAGCTAATTGTATCGACAAGGGAAAACTTTCAAGAACATAATGTAATATATTTTATACGTGAATGATGCCGTGCCCACATGCGCCTGAAATGGAATAAGTCAATAAGACGCCTACGTTTCAATTATAAACTACAGTTTTGTATAAGAAAATCAACCTACCTTAAAAGAACGACGTACTTCCTTTTGTGCGGTCACATATTGGACCGCATAAATACACTTACGAAGCGCTATTTGAAAGTTTACAAAAACCTGGTCGCCTGACTCGTGGCCGATAAGACGCCATCTTGAATGGTGCAAAAACAATGGAAATTCAATGAAATCTTTTTTGACTTTGTCTTTCAGTTTTTAAAATAAGTGTGATGATCTCCCCCAATACCCCCACCACAGTCCCGTTTGCTCCTGGTAACTACCCCCCCCCCCTCTTATTAAGATAAATCAACAGGGCCTGTTCAGGGACAGGGAGGGACACGTCCAGTCCACCCTACAGGTATCCTACCTGGTTACGCGTACACCTGTGTAAAGAAAACATTTTATTCTAGGTTTTCAGCCGTGTAGTCAGTGTAGATGTATTTTTAAATGCCTGTATTCAAAGAGCACACTCGCACTGATTGATTATGACATTACTGACGTAAAAATTGTGTTATTGATCAATGAGATGGTCCTTTGGAAAGAATTAAGATAAAACATTGAAAATCTCTTATTCGAGTGAAAATACAGCAAAGGAATCGCTATGAAGTGATTGAGATCCTCCAATGTGTTTGAGTGTGAGTCGCGGCTTTTAAAATGCACTCGTATAAGTAGCTATTCATCTGCAGATGACACCGAAGACACAAAGTTATGCAAAGCAGTGAACACGGTCTTGCTGTTTGTCACTAAGACATCTTGTAGTCAACAGTAAATTGGAAGAGAATTTTTTCTATTTGGGGTTCAAATCTCAATAACATGCAGTACTCGCTTTTTAGAGTCGAAGTCTTGGACCTGGCAAGTACAACGTGGCTAATGGCTCCTTCTGTGAAAAAGCCGTCCGGGAAAGGTCATCTGGGCCAGGTACTCTATAAAAAATGCTCGCAAATAACAAGTTTGTACATGCATATACGAGTTTGTCGACATGCTTGTGGAAAAACTTAAGCAAGTATCCTGAAAACAGCGGTCCTCCCTAGAATAACACCATGCAGTCAGGGGGTGTACCCAGTATTTTTGTGGTCTTATACCAGTATTCTTAAATGAAGCCTTAGTTTAAGCTACGTAAGTACATATAACTAATATAGCGTATTGTGTGCAGGTTGGGAAAGAGCTTATGAAACGATGCAGGAAGCTAAGTGTCCGCACCTACTCTATAAAGAAGAATGGAACAAAAAACAGTTGCAGGTAGGATGATGTATCATGCATGATCTAATTGTTACACTCATGAATTCCGGTATCCCTCTGCCGAATATTCTTTCTCTCCTTTTTTTCTATTGTGTAAAGTCGAAAAAATATTTTCAAAATTATTCATTTCCATCCATTTAAAAGAACCTCTGAAGTTTCAATACTGTTTTCCTCTTCATTCTGCTGCAGTTGATTGAAAAAGAAAATTCCCCCTTCATCAAAACATGATACCGTAATCCCTCCTAGGGCATATAGAAAATGTTTCTCTTTACTTTTTTTTATAGAAAAAACAACTTGGGCCTGGAACATACGAGATAAAAGACTTTGCTGAATTACTGGATTCCAAACCGGGAAGTGTTCGTGGGATTTGTGAAACAAGAGAGAGACGATTTCTTGCTGCGGGGAAGGTAAGTATACGATTTAAAGGATTTAATTTCAGTTTTATGTATGTCGCAATTATAGCTGTTCAAAGTCTGATGAAATGGTATACGGTTGTACTTCTATGATACAATTATACTTCTACTGTACGTACACTGATTCTCAGGAAGTGACAATGACAAGAAGTTATCGAGAAACCAAAACGGGCTTCAAGGATTTACTTTTATCCGGTGCATGACTGTGTATTCCTTTTTGAAATCTTTAGTTTTAAAAGAAAACCTCAATTTAAGTTAATTATTAGAATAGAGATCCCAATATCAAATGCGTGGTTCATTATTGATTAGACCGTCCTATTTTGCCTTTGAAGCGATGTGAAGATTACTCACTGATTGATTGTTGATGAATTTTGGTCACTTGTACGCCCTTTTTAAATAGTGAAAAAAAGTTGCAAAATATATTAACTGTATACGATTTTTTTATTTTTAATAATGGCGGACAGAAAACATACGAAAAATCATTTATGTTGTTTTTGACAATCACTGATTCTCGTGATTTCAACGGCGACGTGGTTTTACTTAGCGCTGAAGTGTCGAACGTTTTTTAAGGATATGATAAGAACCTCGTGGTTGTGCGGTTAGTTCCGTACAAACAAAGAAATTGCGCAAAAGTTTCACTCTCGCCATTTAACTTTCTCTCGTGTCAAAAACCTAGCTTTCATACATGTAAATTACGTTAACGTTTGCCAAAAGAAATGTCATCGATTTCTCTGGTAGAGTGGGAGTTTTTGTTGGCGAGTTATTAAGTTACTATTCCTGATGAATTAACCTTTTGCCGTTAGAAGAGCAAATAATAATAGGTGCATTTTTTGGCGCAATGCGTTTAAATTGATTGTCACACTGTCTCGTTGCGCTGTTAACTGAGCCGATTCAACTCATCGCAAAGTCAGACAGTAATAGCTACATGTCACTGTTTCGGTGTTTTTTCCAAAGAGCGATATCCCGGGTCCGGGAACATACGGAAAAGGTGGAATACCTAACGCTGCTGTAGAAGAAAAGCAAAAACTGTCAGCAAGTAATGTTGGGATGTTGGAGTCAGGAAAATCTGAGCGAAAACTCCCAGAAGTGGTACGTTTTGCATCATTTTATTACGACATTAGCAATTACAAATGCATGCGGGACATGTATGGGAAAGGTTTCATTTCTAAATCTTCTCACATATCTAACACCTGTTTTTCTCTAGTCCAATGGACGACTTGCGCTTTCGACTAAAACCTTTGTTCAAAGTAACAAGAAGAAAATAAATCATCATTCATCACGGCTAGAAAGAGCGTACTTGAATGTAGTGCAAATGCAAAGTTTGGCTGCAAAATTTGTTAAAATGGGGAAAATATAGCCAAATGGTGCAAAGTTGGCATATTTTGTACTTTTGTATTACGCGCGGAAATGTGTAACTAATACAAACTTCCGGGCGTAATAAAAAAGTATACAAAAATCGACAACTTCCCATGGCTATATTTTTCGTAATTTAGAACAATTCGCAGCCAAACTTAGCAGCTTTACAAATTTTAGTAAGCTCTTTCAGAAAATTTCATTTAATCGCTGAGATAAGAAATTAGTCTAAAGCACAACTCTTCCATTGTTCGCAGTTCGAGGTCTCTTCTTCTAGCTTTCGTACTGTATTATGGATTTTTGTAGCTACTATAATCTATATTTTTTCAGTGTAAGAGTTCTATAATAAATTTTTCCCTTGAAGGGTTCCCATCTATGTCCTGGTCAGTATAATTCAAAAAGCTTTACGGATAAACTCGCAGAAAGAGTTGTCAGTAAACGCGGTCCGTACGATCTTTTCACTGGATCAAGAAACAAGCCCATTACTGCTGGACACTTTGCCGTTCCGGTAGGAAATCCTTTAATGTACAAGTACAACAAAAATCAGCGAAATAATTGTCCAATATACGACATTTCCATAATTATTGAACTTCTTGCAGATTCGAGCCAACCTTGGTCCTGGACAATACGACATTCAATCATTTCTACACGAATTTAAGAGTAAGTATATGACATATTGCCGAATACACGTAATCTTCCAATGTTTACGCCAGGTTTGAGAGCCAAAAATTGTCAAAATATGCTTCCATTTCACTAAATTTTAACAAATATACGACACCATTACCTTTTTTACCATATATTTATTGTTGTCCTTTCATGTGAACAACGTTCAAAAAATTCAGAGAGTTAAAGCTAAAGTCTCTCTGGTTAATTTAGTTGTCCAGCGGTTGCGGCCCTCTCACTAGTCGTTCATTGAGGCACCTTCCCCCATGCTAAGGACGTGGTGGTGAAGTAGTGTTATAACCAAATTCTTTGAACTTATAGTAGACATCATGATGCTATTGATTGCGGTGAAATCTACGCGCATGCGCATATTAAATCGATTAGCTTGCACCGATGGATCAAGTTTTGCTAGAAAAATGTATACATAAAGTGTATTTAAAAGTGTATGCTTAACTATAATTGGATGGAAGAAGTTTGCTATTGATAAAAAATATGCAGCGTACTCTCCTTACGATATAGGCTACTTACGATACACCTTCCTGGTTAGTCCTTCAATAAAAACTGGTTTAGCCATCAACACAAATTTTTTTATCGTTTTTTGCTCCGATTTTAAAAGCGAGATGGCTGTTGTATATCATATACCTTGAATAGCTTGATCGGCGAAACTGACATTTCTTGGCTTTTCTTTCTTTTTTAAGGCGAACATAAAAATCGTCACGGAAGGTTTTTGAAATTAGAAAGATTCCCGGATTATCCGGCAAATAGAATTTACTTCAGCACACTGAGTCAATGTCCCCAAGGAAAGGTATGATTTAGATTATTTGAGAACTGTCTGAATGCATTAGCCAATGTGCACATATGATATCCTTATGTCTTGGGTTTTAGACCGACGTTGGACCCGGTTCTTATACACCGCGTAGCCTCAGTAAATCCGAACCAATAAAACGGCCTGGATTTGGTTCCTCGGCTGGACGCTTTGATAAACACGCCAGAAAATTCTTCCTTGCAAGCAATGTATGTAAAACCATGACGTTTTGGGTGTCGGCGCATGGAATCAAAATGACCTGTTATTTGGTGAAAGCAATTTTATGGTACAAGGTTTATGTTGATAAATTTCTCTTTATATCGTCTTTCATAGAATCCAGTTGGCCCAGGTCGTTATGACATGGAGAGATATCACGAAGCACAACCAGTAAATGGTAACTCAAGCGTGTTTAAATCGAAAACGGGCAAATTTGATTTGGTTCGGGACAAGTACATGACGTGAGTAGTGTAGTTATTCATCATAGTAAGAATTTTTTTATTTAACGAGAAAACATACCAAGGTAGAATTGCACTAGACTAGTGGACGTTTAATTCCAGGGGGTTAAGAATGTTTTCGAAAGCAAATAATTCATGCACCTGTTCTACTTATAGGGAAAGAATAAGAGAAAAAGACCTGCGGCCTGAGGAAAGGGTCTTTATAGTGCCCATCGATGTCATGTGATTTCTATATCACCAACATTTTTCAGCACGAACTTTAGAATTTTGTACTTATTTTCATAAATCATTTTGTAGCCAAGCACCCGCATGAATTTTTGTAAATCACGATTGAATGGAATAAAATGCAATTCAGTTTGAATTCGTACTGTAATTGTCGTAATGTCGCTTTTTTTCGACACCCAATATATGGCAAAAAGAATACAAATCAGTCAGTTTAAGAGAAATTCCGTAAAATGTGAACATTACATAAACTCATAAAGTATATACGTTTCGACTAATCGCCATATATAAGATTACATCATACTGTTGTATTATTTGAAAGGTGAGCGGTTAATATAACTGGCCAACGTTTACAGGGATGAAAACGTACAAGTTGTCATCGGTTGATAAAAGCATGCAGCGCTGAACAAATCATGCTGTCCTGCGAACTTACCTGTCAAATACACAATAATCTCTTCGTTATCCATGATGCGGTTAAAAAACTACCATAAAGCACGTGCTCGGATGAGCACAATAGAATTTTTTTTCTTTACTACCACTTCTCTTGGATCGCAACTCTCGCGAACCTTTAACGGAACAATCAAATTTGCCGTAAAAAAACAAAAAATTACATTCAATAAATGCTAACCATTCTTGTACTCATGCACCTTTACCTTTACATGGCTCCTGATGAATTTGTAATCACGCACGCGCTTTAATTTTGATTGAATTGACTGTGACGAAACAATGCATCGTTTGATGACGCCATTCAAATCAGCTGTCAGACAACGGTTAATTTCGCGTGCGAGGCGTGCACGATGCTGCGAAACTATGAACAATAACCAAGGCCTTCATCTTTCGAGAAGGGGAAACAACTACAAGATGTCCAGTTCACCTGAACTCCCGGCAAAAACATCGCCGGAGGGTAGCGAGTGTACGCAGTTACTTCAACTTTTGGCGCGAAATCCCTCGGCGGCATTACAGATTTTTAAGTTTGCGTCACCAAGCGATGAAAAACCGTATCCTGTGCAGATTTACCGAGGACGCAGAGCAAAATGCACTCCTAGAGTCAACAACAAGTTAAATTTTCAATCACAGCCGAAGACCCAGTGCAGTAGTAACGTGCGTGTATATTGTTTCCCGCCAAAGTTCGACGATTCGAGGACAATTTTGGAAACCTCGCAAAAACCAGCGAATTCCCGCCATGTGCATTTGTTGAGCGACGAAGACATCCAACTGAAATCGAAATGTGTCGATGATTTTGGGAACTTTGATTTTGACGCTTTACTTCCTGCAATTTATTGGAAGTGTAGAGAAAATATGAATACGAACAATAGACATAAAGAGAAAAGTTGAACGAACACACTTCGACTGTAGGAAACTAAAACAATTTTGCTTCGTATAGGAAATCGAATATCTATTTTTATTAGGTAGTCCTGTAGCGTACTTTACTATTTCGAATTATACAAAATATGAACAATTGAGAATTTGGTGGAATGAAAAACTGTAGCTATATATATTCTAGGATATCTATCTATTAAAGAATGATTGTAGCTATTTTAGGTAATTGTGTTAAAGGCAATTAGATAAATTTATAGGAAAAGTATAAAATAAAACAATTCAAAAATAAATCCGCCTACATTTCATAAAACATCAATATCAGTATTCGATTATAAATTATTGTTGCAAGGTCATCATCACAAATTCTCCAATTAATAGTTCAGAATTAGGAAAACAATCCAAATGTATTTGCGCATTTCGTTGAAATCAAAATCTGTTGCACTTCTCACCCCCTTTCTCGCTAGAACTCTCTAATTTTGCAATTCTTGATCCAAATTGGATGGCTCTTTTTGGCAATGCGGATGAACCTTTCAGGCCAAGGGATTTTCCCAAACGGCGTAAAAGGATTTTCTCACCGATCCCACGAGGTAAGCGTGGGTCACACTGAATGCATCAAACGTCACATTAGTACACAAATAATACAATAGATGAAATTTTGAGCAAAAATTGAGCACAACTAGGGTGTTTTGGGAAATGCATGTACCAGTAAACTCCTAGCAGCTAGGAATCCTCAATCAACGTTCAGCTAAGCCTATATATAACAAGCTTGTATGAAGAAATAAAGAAAATATAACCAAATAAATAAAACAGATTTGAACCAACCTTTATCCAAACCGGCAAGTCATTTAGAAATGACACAACGTCTTCGTCAAGAAATGGAAAACGAGATTCACGACCATGGTCTGATATACATCTAGAATGATCAGCTAGTTTAATTATCACATCTGTCTCTGGCTTCTTTGAACGTGGTCAATTCAAACCGCTTTACTTTCTCTTAAGACTATTCAATGTTTTAAAATTGCCGTGTTATTCCATACGCAGCCCAGACTTGGTGTGCCCAGACGTGTGATACTCGCGCGCGTGTCGCGCTTAGTTTATTCACTTTGTCTATATAATAATATTCGTAATAATATTCCTCTATAACTACGATGTTTATGTTAAAATGGTAGAGAAATAACGCACCAATAGAGACTGTTGCAAGCTCTGCCGCTTAATTTCCCTCATGCTACTGCCAAAAATATTTAAACCTTAAAAAGTGACAATTACAATTTGCCTAACAAATATGTTTATTTTTTTACACATTCCGCGCAGCTTCATTTTCTAAAGAGAAAAATATGCGCTGCACTTTCACTTTCACATGAACAAATGAACATGATTTACATACTTCTGCTATTCACCACAGTATACATAATATTATAAAGTAAAAATATATAAATAATAAAGTATCATAAGGATCATACCGGTCATCACGGCCAAGATTTCGTTCTGATATTCTCTGCACTTCCATTTCAATTTCATCTACCAATCCCTTCCACCCGTCTTTACTGAAATTTAACAAAAAATACTTGCGGCAATGTTATTTATAGACCTATATAATATATAGGTTCTGAGATACCTATACATCCAAAACGGCAAAACTACAAGGTACCTGAAGCGGGAACGATGTCGAGCGTATCCTCCTAATTGTTCGTCTGCCCCCATCCCCACAAGCAGTACCTGTAAGTTGTGATGCACAATTTGAAAACGGACAGACAGCATACAATTTGCGGGATACTTATCATTACGGGATAAGGAATTACGTGGCCACCTGAAATTTTTGCATTGAAAATTTTGCTTTGAGAATTTCTTGCATGCTATTTTCTTGCATGCTTTCTTGGTTTAAAAGATTTATACGCGATAAACGCGACCTTGAATTCGTTGCTACATTGCCTAACAGACATGCCCTTTATTAAACTTATAACATTGACCCGATAAATTATACCATTACAGCCATGCTGTGTTTTTTCATTCTCAAGTATTTCTGTCTGTTTAAGCTATATATACGTAATTGTTTGAACACATCTGATAAGAAGGTAGCTATATTCGAAGATGCTGCAACACTGCCAATGTTTTTTTAAGTTTCCTAACAAATGAGTTGTTAATTTGCCCAAGTTTTCTACATAAAAAACATGCACACCTTTGCAGGACATGTATATGATGGTTCATGATCACAAGAACTAGAAATCTCTTCACCGCAACATAACGTGCCTTTTCCCCTTGCTGCAAACCACAGTGCACAGCCAATGCTGTCATCTAGCACTGTACTTAGAGGAGACACGAGATGGGTTATATAGTTTGACCTAAAAAAATAAATACAAATTATTGCTCATTAGTAATCAACAACACAAGTATGCATGGTCTTGCTTTGAAATGGAACAAGGGATTCTGCATGAATGTGTCATACATGGCGGCAAAGAATGAGAAGCTGCTGCAAGATTGTGCATGCATGAGAACCTTGTAGAGGAAGATATAAACACTCAAGGACATACAAATATTTATACTTTACTGCTGCTATTTCCGTACACACAATAGCTAGTGATGGATCCAGTTTCACTTTTGTTTTGCAGTAAAGTTTGTCACTATATAACCCACCTCTCCTTACGCAGTTCCTCCAAAGTAACATTCACCTATAGATTGAGCAAAGTATACACGTCACATACTTATATATGCCTGGGGCCAGTTATTTGAAAGGCGTTTAGCTTAAACGGTGCATGCATGGATACGTTCAAAATGGAAAACAAAATTATCTATATTTATTGAAAAACTGATCGAGCTGAAATATTTCGATGTAAATAGTTTAATTGTCAGTTAAAGTACATATATTAAATGGATAATATTTGGAGAGTATTTTTATAATAAATCGAGAGTATTTTAAAAATTGGCTTATCTGCCGTTTCAACTAAACGCCTTTCGAACAACCGGCCCCTCATGTTAACACCCAGTCAACAATCAATTTCGAAAGCAACTAATGTTGAACGCCGTTGGATGTATATGAATCCCCCTCCCTTATATAACGATCCTCCGCGGCCATGTCTATGCCATTTCCAAAAAATAGCTGTTTTCGACATAAGAGCTACAGGGTCTGTTTAGTATAGTAAATTTGCGTAATGAAAAACAAAGCTACAAAACACTTCGTTCGGAGTAAAAACGGGTGTATTTTTCTCGCGTCAGAAATATAACGCGACCAACAAGAACTAGTTTACCAACATACTACAAACGGCTTGGTTCAAAAAACACTTATAGCTACATACCTCAACAAAGTTCCACGTTCTGTGCGGATTAATCTGCCTAAGTTCGGCTACACCATCCCGCCCAGTAATCCGGTCAGGTACATCAAAGTTAGTGACATCATCACCGTCATCGCGATATTTGAAGCGGTTGTGTTTTCCTCCTTGTTTGCCATGCTTGCCTTTGCGCCTTTGTTCAAACGCAACGTTAATAAGATCTATACGTTCCTCTGATGGGACACACCTGTTAATAAATATAATGTGAGCAATAAATAAGCAAATAGAGGCAATTGTTAATTTGTATTAAGTTTTACAGTCCTATTCGGTGCAGGTGCAATCTACATTGCAATGTCGGAATGGCCAGTGAAAATGGTAACAAGGTTTGTCATTGTGCAAAATGTCATTGATTTAACAAGGAGAATTTCGCATATCTATAAAAGGAAAATTTGTTTACATTGTTCAGGTTAAGACAGTCAGAACGCCTAAATTTTTAATACTTTAATACTTTGAAATATAGTGAAAAATGCACCATTTTATCGATTTGTCATAATTATATTTCACAAATTACCTGTCTGCAAGTGCCGCGAGTACAATCGAGTCCAGTCCTCCGGAAAAAAGAATTCCGACATAACTTTTCGATTTCTTTTCAATACATTCCTCCCCCTCTCTTTTACTTGTAGTACAACCTCTCTGGACTTCTTCAGGTGGGGTTTCAGACTCATTCTCCGTTTTTCTTGGTAAATTAAAAACGCGCCTTTTAACAGCTTCAGTAAGAACGTTTGCAAACTGCTCAACCACGACGTCGCTAATATGGCCGCCATTTTGGCACTGGTTCGTTTGATCATCACGAAGCTGATCGAAATCCGTACCTTCTTCTACCTCATCTACGAAAAGTTCAGAAGACTGACTTGCAGTACCGGCTTCAACCGTGTGTCCTACATTACTTTGCTCTTCCATTTCGGTAGAACCAGGAACGATGTCGCCTCGCAACATTGTCTCACCAGATTGACCAACTATATCACCAGGAATGTTTGTGTTATATTTGTAGTTCGGAGTTTTTATTCGAAAATTTGCGATAGAACGAGTTACATAAGCGGGGTCATCGTCTTTTGTCGTTGTATCTGTATTTATACACGAATTACGTGACGTTCTACTCAGTTTATCGTTATCTGTCTTCCCTCTTACCGCCGAAGACACAGCTTCAGGTTGGCGTAAAGATTGCTCTGGCTGTTTCAAACAGTTGGTTGAAGATAGGGATTCTGAGGAATTAATGTCATCCATCATTTTTCTATTAAACTGCTTTGGAACAGGACATGCTGGATATTTGTTAGAGGAAGGTTCCTGCCATGGATATCTTTGCAAAAACGTCTGAACGTCTACAGCGCTCGCTTCTAGTTGATAAAATAGTAACAAAATTAGTTGGGTTATAAAAAAAGCGTGATCAGGGCGTGGCGAATGAGTCAGGATTGGGGGGGATGTCATGTGATTTCACCAACGTTTACAATGAAGATACCCAACTTTCTATCAGGGTACGGTACCTACATTTTTATTGAACGTTTTCGCCTTACTGACTCACAGCATATTCCAAGTTTAATACACTTTTACTCCCGCTTTTTATACCGGTATTGCTCGTTTTTTTCTCGATCAATAAAAAAGTTATGGTAACATTCTGTTAGCTAAATGGCATAGTTGTTGGAAATTGGTTAACATTGGGGAGAAACGTGTTTTGCGAGGCGTCACCATGGATCTTTGGAAACGGCCTTGAATCATATTCAGAAGTAATCCAGCATGTGTTGCACATTTCACGAATTCACTCGGATTTGTTGTTGCACTTTTTGACCAATACGTTGGCAATTATTGCGGGGTGTCACATCCCTCCAGGCCCACCGGTCGCCACGCCCCTGGAGGTTATAAATAATTGAAAAGAAATGACAAACCAAAATTTTAGGAAATGGTCCCGTATCATTCCGTAGTAATCGTACCTTCGGAGGAAAAATAATCACCAAATTTCCTTAAATCTATCGAATATATTCCATTGGCCGGCACTTCTTTCCAAAACTAAGCAAAGATGGAAAAGAAACTTGTATGGTAATCACGCAACGAGGTATTTGCCTCCATACGAATTACGATAACATATGCATATTTAGTCATATTACCTGTCCACCGGTATCTGATCTCGTTCCAACTGAGGACAATGTAAATAGGTCAGTGGATGACGAGGGGAGGTGCCAAAGCAAACTGCGCCGTCCAAAAAAATCTCGACCGAACCAGAGAGTATGTTTACTGGCCTAGGCACAGTCACACGCAGAAAAATACACATGAGCAAACATATATCAGAACTATACGGCATGTATTTGTGCATTTGATCGATAGCAGGATTATCTACGACTAAGACTACGAATTCGCAAAATGTTGAGCGGAAATCGCAGAGGCTGTGTGTTTACAGACAGAGAGACTGGTGTTAAATATTTGCTGGAGAAACTGCTCGAGATTAGGTGTAAAAAACTGTAAATATCTTTATTTTCTATAGCCGAGTATTTCGTCTACAACACTTTCTACTTTATATTCTTGTTAAGTACGAAACCTTTCAAGAAATGTAAATGATCACCAAATGATCATATTAATTTTATATCAAATCCAAAATTTTACATACTTCGATTCTTTAATTATGCTTAGTAGTTTCTTAGTGCAGCAAAGTGGTAATTATAAGGCTAGTTCACTAAGACACAATTGAAAATTACTGACGATGCCAAAATACGTGCCTGACAATCAAACCCTGCGTTCTTGCCAATCGACAACTGGCAAGATGAATCTTGCGAAGTGTGAAGATAATAGGAAGCCTTGCAATGCATAATACTTCATGGTTAGCAAGTATAACTTGTGTTATTCATGAGAGCTTTTACTTACTTTCGACTAGCACAACAACAAGCCCGTTGTATTGATATGTTTTTTACTAGTTACCTGATAATAGACAAACGCCCATGGTCCACGAATCTGGGACATTGTCCTGAGAACATGTTCCGCAACGTTGTCATCCATGGAAGTATGCAAACGTTTGAGCAATGTCGAGGTATCACTTTCATCAGCTGTAACCTATAATGCACAGGAAAATTTCATAATTGTAGGATTTCATGTTTTGTTTCTAAGCCTAAGGGGGAACAAACAAATCGTAAACCGCTAAACTGGCCAGGAATTAAGCGATGCTACGGCAATAGACTATTTAGAGGATCACATGCACAAATCAGATTATAATATTGAACGCGCTCTTTTTTATCTATTGTATTTCCCTTGAAATTCATCTGCAAAAAGCTGTACCAATCTCTAGCAATCTCGTATAAGATTGCCTTGGGTAGTTTCAACTATTTTTAACCCCCTGCAATTCAAAAACCGCAAGCTGTGATTGACAACCACGCATAAAATAAAGTGTACCTAATGTGACCTAAAAAAACCTAACCAAAACTATTCAAGTTTAGTAAGAGTGCCTTTCCTTGGCTGAATGTGATAATATATTGAAATAAGGTGGTGGATAAAAAATGTAGTTAATAAAATGTACCAGATCTGGTCACGCTGCTGGCGTATAGCTAACAACTTGAGAAAATGCACCGATTCTTAAAACACGCTAGCTAGTGCACGTTTACACTGTCCTTTCTTCGTATAACAACACCCTACTCTGGCGTTTATGTATTCGCATCTAATGACGTTGAGCGAGAAATTTTATCAAAATATGAATCAGCAACATTTTTAGCAGTCCATGTGAGTAGGCGATATCTGACAACGCAGAGTTTAGATCTCCTAGTGATCTACATCCTTTCACACTTGACCGGCGCTGCACTTCCTTTTGTAGACCGCATTTTGCAGTTCATAAGTTCACAAAGCAGATAAAAGAAAAGTAATTTAAAAATACTACCTTAATCCCTGCAAAAATTTCCCCATTCCATGCCAAAACATTACCAAATGTGTCTTCGACAGGTTGTTTGGCTATGCATTCGCCCCGAAGGTGAAGAACAGCAGCTGACAGATGGATAAAGCAGTTGGAGAGGTCGCAACTGGTACCACTGTGGCGTCTCTCTACGATATGCTTTTCACCGAAATTATCTGGGCCACGTCTTTGCAGAAGCGATTTGATCATTGTAATGATTTCCTTCAAATAAAGTGGACAATTTCCCCATGAAACTAAATTTAAACTGGGAATATTCATCACTACAGCTGGAAAGAGCATCCCAAACTTAGTCAAGGTGGAACGTTTGGTTTGGAAATATTGCAACGTGTGACAAATACATGCATGCAGGCGTGCAAATTTGGTAAGATTTGGAAAAGTAGTATATTACGCGCGAGAAAGAGTAACGTATAATATATTATAATACTAATATACTATAATATATAATATATATAACTATAATACTAATACTTTAATCTATATACAACTAATAATAAGACGTAGTATACCAATTTATATACAAAATTTGTAAACATGCATACAAACTTGACACAGCGATATTTTTCGTATCCTTGAAAATTTTGTAACAAAATTTTCCGATGCTTTTTCTACCTGTACTTCGCAGAACCGATGATATATTTTCCAGGATTTAGTTAATAGGGAACCATACAGGTGCTCTAAAATGACGGGATGGGACGGGGACTAGTTGTCAAATAAAAAATCTATTTCTCCTTCGAAACGACTTGAAATCTATTGAAATATACTTTATTTCGGTTTCAAGTTTATGTCAGAGCTATAATTAAAGCTACTTCATAGCTAGATCGTTTGTTTGATTTTTATTATGACTCGTTGCATGTGAAGGATCGCATACTCACTCGTTCTTTTTGCGATCCTTCACAACTCGTGCATACAAATCGTACGCACTCGCCAACAATGAAGTAATCTTTATATACAGTAGGAGGCAAAAGTTGAGTCCAGTGACTGTATTTCATTGTTTTAGCAACATATATTAATATTCTGCAGATAACTTTACCGATAAGTGGACTAGAAAAATACATGCTGTACAACAGCTATGAGATGTTATGATATTCATTTTACGTATGTTAATGTGCAAAATTGCATTACATGTCAATGCTTAGTATCCCTCTTTTTTGCTCTTGAAATGACCTTTATTCTTGCTCGCATAGATTCCATAGGTTTTTAATGTCGCACGTTCAATACCTTGCCAGCATTCGTTGACCATGCACTTGCCTCAAGTCATCCTGGCTGGCGTGTCTGTGCCTCGCCCTTTTCCGGTTAAAACGGTTCTACAAGTGCTCCATAGGTTTTAGATCTGGAATTTGAGGTGGAAAGCCATGAGAACAAGATCACCAGAACGAGTTTGCTTCCAAAAGATTTCTGGCACATAGAAGATGAGCATGTGCTTAGAGTGACTATCATGTAGTTAGACGCGCGATCATCTTTGTACCAGATGAAATTCCATTTCCTTGAAGAATTGGATGATACTTAATGATAATTAGGATCCTATTATATGATTTATATCTTTCAATATTGCCAAACCGAACATGACCGAAGCAGCTAAAAGTTTGCTTGAGTAGGATTTAGTTTCTTCGAACCTCTCCAAGGTTAGTTGCATACCACCTTTTTAAATTCTCACTTTTTCTGCGATCGTACGAGGAAAGAATCCTTCAATACTCCAAACTCTTCTTGTGCACCATCACTTTGCCCTTTTTCCCACCAATCTTAGGCAGTTTAAGGGAATGAAAACTTTATTTTGTTATCATTTAGATCATTAGGACCAAAGCAGTGTGCAATTAATATAGTTTACAGTACAGTATAGTTTACTGAAACACTAGCACGCATGTCTTAACTTTCAGAATACGCTGCCAGAATTTAATACTGGAATTCTACAACGACTGGACTCAAACTTTTGTCTCCTACTGTATATATAATGCATGATATTAAAAAATTCGCCAAACTGGCAAATGTATTGATCGCGATGAGCATTTCCAGCAAAATTCACGTAAATTCAATTATATGTTAAGACACAGAATGCATGCAAGTCTTTATTCAAATTAAAATTTTTTATTAAACTATAGAATACCTTCGATCAATATTTCATTTTTTTGTTGAAAACCCATTCGCTTAAAAAAGGTGAAACTGAGATCAAGGAATATATAGTATAAATATACAGTCACTTCCTCCTCATAATTTTAATACACATTATTTATGGTTTTTACTACATGCATGTTTTCTGTATATATACTATAATCTATATGTATACCTTGCGCCGTTTACTACAAATTTATTTTTACTAAATAACGAATCAATAAAATAACAATCTATTCGTCTAAAATTCAGATTAATTGCTACAATATACACCAATCAAAGTTCTTAATTATAAAGTTGTGGCAGAATTGATCGACATGTGTGTGGATCGCCGGAAGGATTTCCAGCAAAATTTTACATAATTTTATTTTAGACATGCAATTAATATATTTCTTTTAAATTAATATATTCTGCTTGGGATTAATAACATTGTATATATATATATACCAATCAAGGCATATGTGCCGAGAGCTATTAATCAATATTTCATATTTTTTGTTTCATCCAACAAACACAATGCAAGGTCAATATATTCAATCTCCCATAATATTAAAACTTTCTTATAATTTAACCACACATCATTGGTGAGATAATCCTTGATTAACCGTTCCTTCGACAAACAAAACGTTAAAGTAAACAAGAGAGATGAATTTCGACTTCAACTTAACGCGGCTGGATTTGTATTTTATCTCTTTATTCGGCATCGTTTCTCATGTACTGCTTTTGATAGCCTTCATCAAAGATCCTTTAAAGCGTTTTAGAAATTCTGCAACTTCTCTCGTCGCAAACCTGGCTTGCTCCGATCTTCTAATTTGTTTCTCTGGACTATTTGTGGCAAGTAACTCGAAAGGACGAGTAAATTGGGTCATTTTTAACATTTGGCAGTCAACCGTGCCAGTATCGATTTTTACAATTTTTGGAATCGCTGTGGACCGATACCTGATGGTCGCTTTTCCCTTCAAACATAAATCCTACATGAACGGCAAGAAAATAGTTTTTTGGGTAATACTCTTTTGGATAGTACCTTTCTGCTCTAATATACGAGAATTCTTATCACCTCAATCAAATGGAATATTCCAGGTCAGTTCGGACAAACTTTATGCCGGACTGATATCACGTTGTTGACAGGTTTTCTGTATGTAATGACAACTCGCTCGTTGCGAATCCAAGCACGAAATTTAGCGTCGCACAATCCAGAAGACGGTACAAACCGTACACAAGCAGTTCGAGCGTCAAGAGAAAGGCGATTCATGAATACTATAGCTTTGGTGGCAAGCATTACATTTATTGGTATTGTTCCCTGTTTTATTTTATACAACGTTACACAAGAGGAGGGAATAGATTTATATTATAATCCGAGTATAGCAGTTAAAATATCGTTTCGTCTTTCATTAGCATTATTGTATTGCACTTTTGCCGTAAATCCTCTGATATATTTTCTCCGTTTAACCAATTATCGTAAAACATTTCTTGCCTTGTATTGGAGACGCAAAGCTCATATATAAAGGGAGAAATAATTTTCACATGTAAGAAGTGGATGAGCACGCTAGCAACCGGCTGTAAGGCCAGAAGCCTGGTTCTCATAAGCATGTCACTGCATGACAGTCGGTGATGGCTATTGATAAAAATGTAGTTTATTATTATTATTATATTAAAGTCCTAAAATCTAGACGGAGTCGGAGCAGACGTGAAATTGTACAATGTTGAAAACTATATATATTAAATTTAGATTATAATAATTAATTATGTACATATAAAAATAGTTCGACATGTTATAAAAATAATAGACATCTATTCAAAAAAGGTCGTTTGAATCATTCAGTTTTAAGTCGAGGAAGAAAAAATTATGTCCCTTCGTTTTAAGCTTCTATGCATAAAGGAGGCAATTATATAGTGCATGTATCCTAATATTTCTTTTCTCGATAACTTCAGATATTTTGATATTCTTTGTTGTCATAGCCATAACGATAAGACAACGATAAGGAAGAACTTATCTGTACGATCTAAATATTTGTTTTGAAGTACAGGGCCCCACACTTTAATGCAGTAATAAAATAGTGACTGATGATTAACGAGTCGGATAATTTGTTTAACTGTGCAGTAGGGTAACCATAGCATCTACACACTCTCATTATGTATAACCGCCCATTATAGCTTTCGACAGGAGATTATCAACAAGAAGATCCCACTCCCAACAGCACGGGTTGTCCCGAAATGTTACACCTAATAAGTTTAGCTCATTTTCTCGTTCTTTGCCTTCAATCGGTGATGGTAATGGTTTAGTAGAACTACCGTGCACAACCATTTCCCACGTTTTGGAAAGGTTTAACACCATTGGTTTTGTTTCTGACCAATTCTGAATGTGTTCCACTTCAGCTTGAATTGACTGGAGCACCAACTAACAGCTTATTTTGTGGATCAGTGAGTTTTATATTGTTGACCACTAGTGAAAATATAGGAAAGGACCTAAAACGGTACCCTGAGGCACCCCCTTTTGTTTATATCAAGATAAACAGTTTCTATACCATCAACAATGATTCTTTGTTTTCAGTTAGTCAGAAAACGAATAATTATTATTATTATTATTATTATTATACATAAAACATACTCCCAATAGGGCTTTTCAGTATGTACTAACAAGGCTAAAAATAGGTATATTTCTATCTACAATTACGTTATTGACTATGCTATGTTTATAAAATATGTTTACAATTAAGAGAAATCCTAGTTGTATAGTTATACTAAGATTTTAATACTTTAACTAAGATATAGGTTTCCGTTAACGTTATTTGTTAACATATTTTTCTTTAAGTGCTTCTTAAATGTTTTAAAAGGTAGTTTTTTAAAATCTTTATCTAAAATGTTCCAGATTTTTATTGCTCTATAGCAAAAACTTCTTTGACCTGATGTTGTTTTGCATGGGGGAATGTCAAGGTCGTCTTTATTCCGGGTGTTCTTGTTGTGAACTGCATTTCGTTTTAAAAACTGGTCACATAAGTACGGCGGTGCAAGTTCGTTCATGCATTTATAAGCCATTAGTGTATCTCTGTACTGTAAATGTTCCTTGACTGGGAGCCAACCGATCGCCTGTAGTACTGGTGTTATGTGGTCGTATTTCCTTGTATTTGTTATAATCCTACAAGCAAAATTTTGTACTTTTTCGAGTTTTTTTATGTTTGTTGCCGATGTATTCGACCACACCGTAGAGCAGTAATGCAATCTGCTCATCACTAGGGCATTGACAATCGTGTGGAGGGTTTCGCTATCGAAGCTGTCCTTTACTCTATTTATTTGGTACAGTTTTGCCATTGAGGATGATATGACGTGTCGTATATGATGATCATAACTTAAATAACTGTCCATGAATAGCCCTAGGTCTTTGGCGTAAGAGGAAGGTGTGATCTCTTTTCCTAGGAACGAGATAACCAGTCCTTCAGTAAGGTTTCCGATTAACTGTCGAGTGCCTATTAGTATTAATTTTGTCTTTTCAGGGTTAATTAACAGCTTATTTGTGAAACACCATGTTGCAATCCTCTTAAGATCCTCTTCTATGTTACTTTTTGCATCGATTATATTCGTGATTGGAAAGGACATGAATATTTTCGAATCATCCACAAATGATTCTAACTTAGCTGTTTTTGGTGCTGTTGGAAGGTCGTTTATATAGATGCAAAATAATAGAGGTGACAATATTGCCCCTTGTGGGACGCCATGAGTGATTGAAAGAGTTTCTGATACTGAAGAGCCAATGCGTACGTATTGCTTTCTGTCTGAAAGGTAGCTTCTAAACCAATTTAGAGCCTTACGAGATACTCCAATATTGCTTAGTTTTTGAAGCAATATTGTGTGGTCAATGCTATCGAAGGCTTTGGACAGATCTAACAGAATAAGGGCAGATAGCTCTTTGTTATCCATTGCGTTCAGGAAAAAATCGTTTACTAATATATGAGGGTTTCCGTTGAATGGTACTTTCTGTTTCCACTCTGGTGTGCCGTAAGGTGGCCGGTCCGGTTTAAAAAACTCGTGAATTGATTTAAGGCCGCTTTCTCACATACCTTCGAGATTACATTGAGCATTGAGAGGGGACGGTTGTTGGAGGCTATTTCGTGATCCCCTTCTTTTAATATTGGTATGATTTCTGCTATTTTCCAGGCTTCTGGAAACGTATTAGTTGTAAATGAACTGTTGATGATATCGTCAGGGGGCCTAAGATTACTTGGAGGCAGTCTTTAATAGTTCTCATACTGATTTTGTCGGGACCTGGTGATTTATTTGATGGCATAGATGTTAGTATGCGTTCAATTTCCGCACAGGTAACAGGTATGAAGTGGAATGACTCTTCGATCGGACATTGTAGGTTCTTGATTTCACAGGCAGACATGGAAGATATATTGATGTTATTATCTAAGGCCAGTTGCGTAGCTGTTTCGGCGGCTGTTATCCCTACTGACTGGAAAAAACTGTTAAAATCGTTGGCAACCTCTTCCTGGTTTTTGTTGTATATTGGGGTTGTTTTGTCTCTAGACGGAATGCGGCTATGAATTACTTTCCAAAGTGACCCAGGTTTGTCTTTATGTGTATTAACTTCAGTGCGGACGTAGTCTTTCTCTGCGACTTTTAAGGTGGATTTGATTGATTTTTGGACTGTTTTAAAGTTCTTCCAGTCCTCCATTTCTCGTGTCTGTTTGTATCGACGATGTAGCTGGTCTCTGTAGATCATTTGTTTTTTGATGTCAGCAGTAACAAATGGACAGGATCGACGTCGAATCTTGACCTCTTTAATTGGAGCATGGACAGCCAAAGTAGTAGAGAGGACATCATTAAGTTTTCTGAGTTTTGAATTGACATTGGAATCGAAAAAGATGGAAATGAGTTCTTGTGATCTTGTACCAAGATGGGTAATGAACTTTGAACTATCATAGCTTTTATAGCTTCGCGTCAGGATGCTCTGTACTGATGGCTTAGGAAGTTTCATGTTTAACGCGGTGTATACTGGTAGGTGGTCGCTTATGAGTGTGTCCATAACACCACTTTGATGGACAAGGTTGGGTGATGAAGTTATGATTACGTCGATTAGTGATTCACAAGTGTTTGTGATCCTGGTTGGTGAAGTGATCAATTGCTTTAAGTTCATCTCGTACATGAAGTTTTCCAATGCTGTGGTCTCAGCGGTGACCTTCATGGTGTTGCAATTTAGGTCTCCCAAAATAAATATGGGTTTGTCCTGCATGGCGGCTTGCATATAACTTGCTTTTAGGTTGTTTTCTAGGCAGGACGGCGGGCAGTCTGGTGGTCTATATGATACACAGAGCAGGATAGATCTTAACTTTTTAGTCTGAAGTTTGAGCCAAAGCTGCTGGAAGTAATCGGTGGAAACTGATGATATTTCCTTCAGTACGGTGACCTTAATATCACTCCGAATGTACGCAGCTATAATCCATTTTGCACTACGAAAATAATCCATTTTGCACGACGAAAAATAAAAAAGGAGGAATTTCAAATTTGTTCTTTGAACATTTTTCATGTTTTCAGGCAAAGCCAATTAGAATGCCTTAATTTCTAATACTTATTTGCAAAAAAGACACATACCCTGCCAACAAACAATAGAGAGAAAAACAATGACATTTTACCACAACACTCTCTTTTCTTATACTCTTCTGGCTTAAAAAACTCAAGTTCGCTTTAGTACCACAAATTACGTTAGCTGCATTGACTGTAGTGCTGGAAAACGCCAATTAAATTCCTTTCGAATTAAAAGTCAGATCAGAAAAAAGTCTGAATTCTTAATGGTTTAATTCCTTCTGCTAATTAGCATTTTGCTACTTTCAGTATATGATTTGAAAGAAAGAATTAATAAAAACAGTTGCTTATACCTCTTATCAACCTCTTTTTATACTAGTTATATCCAGCCTACTAATGATATCCAGATTGACCTTACCACTATCTAAGTGCTGCACCCTCATTAGCTATGCCACTTGCTTTCTATTAGCGGGTGGCAAAAATTCATGTAATTAATTGTTCAATAATTCTTTTCTTACTAGTCTTTTCTTACTACTACTAATTCACACAGATTACAGACTATAATGGTTTATTCCTGTTGATATGATAATTGATAGGAATCTTATTTAAGCTCATAATAATATTGTGGAAGAGCATTAAACAGATACAATCATTGTCCTGTTAGAAATTTGTAATTGGTTATTTTCAATTTTAGGATAATAACAATTTGGACATTAGTCGATCAAATACCATGGGTACAAGACTGGCACTAGTCGAATAATCGCTAGTGTATTATCAATATCAGATAACTTGAATTGAGAAATAGAAAAACAAATCATCAATATAAATAGCGTTGGTTTGTGCAGAAACCACAACTGAGTTTCAAGATGGTTGCAATTCATGCTTTTTGAAGCGTTTTAGCTTCTGAACAATAAAAAGGTTAAAACCATACTTATTCATATACTCATGATAGTAAAATTTGGGGAGTCAAAAGAACTGACTTAATGAAGTACTAATTCTGTTACATTGCAAACTGTGTGAAGATTGTTAGTTTGAAATTAAAACAGATGAATAATTGGTATTGGTGAATTACTGCCTCCAAACAGTTGGCTTCAGTAATAAATAATTTTGCTTTATTTTAAATTTTGTATGAGTATTTTGATTATTTAAAGCAGACATCACTCAGAAGTTATTCTAGTTAAAATATTGAGTGACTAACCCTCCAATGTAATAGTTTGTAATTATACTGCATGTTAGGTAGGTTCAATGATAGGTTCATCATTGATAATTTTCAATAAAAATACAACAAAAGTTAATAACCTTTCTTCTAAGATTAGCTTCTTCCGTCGAGGGACAAATGGTACAAAATATTCCACACATTTTCAATATTTGAATGTATTTCAATCACTTGATTGATTGACTGTAGGATCCACTGAGGCTAACTTTACTATATTTTACTATAGTTCATTATAAAAGATGAATAAGAATATAAAATCCTTTCTAACACTGATCTGCATACGAACTGATCGCACTGGAGTTAGAAGTAAAGCCAACTAGCCAAGATGGCGTCCGCTCCAGATGTGGATGATTTGGAACCGCTTGATCCATCGATCAATAATATTCTTGAACAAACTAGTTTAAAATGGATATTTGTTGGCGGGAAAGGTGGGGTCGGAAAGACTACATGTAGGTCAGTACCAAAAATGATTTTAAACTCAATTGAGTGTAAAATACTTTGAATATTCGTTATATTCCTTGCTCAATGCTTGAAACCTGAAATATGGATCACAGGATCAGGCAAGATGAGATCATGACGTCAGATTAGACAGAATCATCATCAGGCAGAGTAAATTTACGTACAGTATGATACATGGTCTTATTCACAGCTAAGATGTTAATGTTATGCCATAACTACAAATGAAATTGTCAGCAAATGTCTGATAGACTGATACTCTGATTAACATTATTTTTATTGTGTATGTACATATAGACATATTATATTACATTGATAAGAAAATTTCGATTTTCTCTTGTTTGATCCATATTTTGGATTCAACATGGCAATGGTGTTTTGTGTTTTATTTTTTGTTGAACACCAACAAAAATTCTATAGATGAATATGAATTGGTATGCAGTTTGGTTATTATTGTTTGTTCAGTGTTAATTTTGATGTGAATTCAATGAAAATTCAATTTTTAGTAGCAAAGTCTACTCTCACATTCCTACACACAACATCAAATTGATGTGTATGATTGAAAATGTCAGTTTGGCATTTTGAGCAGAAATGTATATGGACACGATTGCTGATTGAATTACAACATCATGTCAATTATTTTTTAGCTGCAGTCTTGCATTGTCATTAGCCAAGGTTCGTGAGAACGTTTTGATAATATCGACAGATCCTGCACATAACATATCAGATGCTTTCAATCAGAAATTTGGCAAAACCCCAACAGCTGTTAAAAAATGTCCAAACCTTTATGCAATGGTAAGTGCTTCGGTCCTATAAAACCATATTTTTAGATTTATTAGCACTGTGTTGAAGCCATAAAGATAAAAGATTTTTTTAATTTTGTATTCATGTGCATCAAATTAGCAAAAGCAACTAATTAGTTCAAGAGTTAATGTTGCAACATATGTTTTAAATTTTGTCATTAGAGTTAAACAATACTCTATGTTTTAAATGAATTTTCCTTTTGCTTCTGGCATTTATTTTTTGTAATAATTTGCATAACAGGAAATTGATCCCAATCTTGGCTTTTCTCAATTACCAGATGATTTTATTGATGAACCAGGTATAGTTCAAATAATAACTGGTATCATGACAATAAGTGAATGCCCCTTAATTATCTTTGACAAAATTAATAATTACAGATGCAGTTAGCCTTGGAAAACGCCTTGCTCAAGATTTTCTTGGAGCATTTCCTGGTATTGATGAAGCCATGAGTTTTGCAGAAGTCATGAGGTAATATACTATGGCATATTATTTGGCGAATGCTCAAGTAATGTTGCTTATAAATTACACTTGGTAATTGGTATGGAACTTGAGCATGTGGTGTAGGTATATAGCTATATAAGTATACAGAAATAAACAATTAAGTGATGCTTGGTAATATTTGCATTACCATTTCAACCTTTTTTTTCCTAGGTTGGTGACACACATGGATTTTTCTGTTGTTGTGTTTGACACTGCTCCTACAGGGCACACATTAAGGTTGCTGTCATTTCCATCACTGATAGAAAACTCGCTGGGGAAACTCCTTCAAATTAAAAATCAATTCACTCCAATAATAAATCAAGTATGTTTTTCCGTGATATTTAGTCAGGTATTTTGTATAAGGCAAAACTAGAGCCTTAATCTTCCCAATGAAGTGAGTGGGACTATGTAGGGTACAGGATCGTACGCAGAATTTCTGGGCTGGGGGGCAGTGATCTTTGTTGAATAGGGTACAGTTTATTTTTATAAACAGGACATAACATACAACTTCTAAAAATTCTAAGTTGCATTTTTTCTAATGGGGCCAGATGCCCTCCCCCTGTCCCCTCGCTGTGTATGGCCCTGGTAGGGTAGCTTATTCCTTTGTGAAATATCAAATAGAATTTACATGTGACTGTATAACTGCGAAACAAACTCCTCTAATGAAAAAGAAAACGCAACATCAGTTACATATGAGCGGCATTGTGATGTGCAAGAGCTTTTCTGCGTTACTTGAAAGCAGGTGTCTTATACATGATAATAGCAAACTAAAGAAAAGGCAAAGCTTTGATGCCCTTTCGTATAAGCCTTGTTACTTTTGGCTGAAATAGTAATTGTGTTTCAGTTTAGTGGTTTGCTGGGTGTAAGCGATGCTGATCCCAGCATGGTGACGAATAAATTAGAGGAGAGTATGCCCGTTATTAAAGACGTCAGTGCAAAACTGAAGAATGCGGTAAATTTATGTTACATTTGTATCAGGATTGGATATAAGAAGATTGAAGTAAAATCTAGATATAAGAAATAAGTAAAATCTAGTTCTAATCTTACTTACCATTAAAAAGATATGACCCCACAAGTATAAATGATACATTTTAATGTAACCTTTTTTACTTGAATACGGTATGCACTATTAAATAATATGCAACTTATAATATAAGAAGATATATATAAGAATATTCATGCTCAAAATAAACCCTACAGTATATTATCTAAAAAAAAAAGAAATAATGCAAGACTGCCAACCCTAAGCCCAAGTGTGGCACTTTTTTACTAGGAACACACCACGTTTGTTTGCGTTTGTATATCGGAATTCCTTTCTTTGTACGAAACCGAGAGACTGGTTCAAGAATTAGCCAAATCTGACATCGACACTCACAACATCATCGTGAATCAGCTAGTATACGTAAATGAAGATAGGAAAGGTTTGTAAGCAGTAACCCTCGTACAGTACCCGTTCCCGGAAAATTTAAGCACAGGGCAGTTTACTGTACTATACTTATGCACGAATATAAGCTTAATGTTATCTTCAGAAAATTAGGAGACAAGCCTGGTCATTGACATAACTTCAAGTCGCTGTAACCCCCTTATGATTTGCTGGTTTAACAATCATTCCCCTAAATATTTTTTTTTATCAATATATTTATACAAACACTAGACGCCTGTAAGTTATGCGAAGCTAGAAGGAAAATCCAAGCAAAGTATTTGGAACAGGTGTGTATGAGTAGAGCATTCACTTTGTTTTGGAGAAAAGGAATAAATGCATGGTCATGGAGTATACCTACATGAAGCAGGGATATAATCTAAGTCCGAAAAATTGAACCGAATCAGTCCACGTTAACAGCAATCAACGTTAATAGGGAGATTTAGCACGAGGACGTGAACGTAAAATAGGACGTGAAAGTGGCGAATAAATGGCGTGATGCGTCTATATATAGACATTCCTCGCCATTAGCCATTTTCACGTCACCTTTGACGTTCACGTCCTCATGCTGAATCCCCCAAGTATTTTGACTGTATTTCGGTTTGAAAATAATATAGAATAGAAATAGAATATAGTGTAAATATCAATTTACATGAAGTTGTTTTTCACTTATTTTCACATTTTCCCACAGTGCTGTACAGTATATTCAATAGTATAGCTGTAGTATTGATAGCACTAAGCGTCACTAAATTTTACCACGACTAACATCAATTCTAAGTGTTAACTTTCATTGACCAGGTCGAATTTTTATTAGTTTCAGTATTTACTGTTGTAAAATTTAGAGTATCATCTTATTCGTCTATACTCTATAAAAACATGTCCTGAACTTTTCAGATTGACGACCTTTATGAAGACTTTCACGTCACCAAATTACCGCTTCTTCCACACGAAGTTCGAGGATGTGATAAAATAGACGAATTTTCACAGTATCTTCGTCATCCATATGTTCCTAATGACAAATCAAGATAGATGATAAATTCAGCAAGACTTAAATTGCGACAGATCGCAAACGGCTAGGGTACAGTTCGGTACGCATGCAACATTTTGCAAAATCAATAAGTAATAAAAAACAATGGTGCAGATTTTGAAAACATTTATAATAGGAGAAAACCTCATGTTTAGAATGCTTCTTAAATCGTTCACGCGGCCGGAGTGAAAGTCGCTCGTGTCGAATTGGGCCTTTCAAGAAGCCAGGAGGAAGTTCCTCAGTCGAAAATCGGTTCCTGTGACCGTTGCATGCTTTTCGACGATACAAATCTTACATTTACGGAGATACAATGTTCACATTTTTCACACATCCTCCTTGCTTTGCATATTGCAACAATACGCTTCAAGAATTTCTCAATCTTCTAACTGAACAGTTTTTTATTAGCCGTTAATAATTTCTGTGAAGTCATTTTGATATAATTATGATATATTCGCTTCGCATGTGGAAACACACACATGGGAAAATATTTTAAAATGGCGGTCAAAACATTGATGTTTGAATATTTGAATAATACTTTCTTTATTGAAATACAAGCATTTTTTGGTGCGCAAGAATGGAATTAAATCGAGAAAATGCTGTCATACTTGCTGCGGGACTTCTTGGTGGGGCCGGGACAGTATATACACTGTTTTCATTGCGGAACTTGTTGCGTAAATCTTGCAGAAGGGCAACACTTGCGCAGTTGACAGACAAAATTAGCCTAGAAACACTAACGAAACTATCTGAAGTATCTAATGTTAGTATTAGGCAATGCGCTCGTGACCTCCTTATAGCTCGTATATTAAAACCCGAACGTTTGAAATTTTTAATTCAACTTTGTTATGCCGAAAACGAAGAGAGTGTAATAAAAGCTTGCACTGTTATAGAAAGTCTTACAAAGAACCCCAAGTGTAGGGCGAGGTTTGTCTATTTTGGAGGACTAGAAGCATTATCCCATGCAACCTACCGCTCGTGGGCACGAAAAAATAAAGGAGAAATCAGCGATAATTATATGAAAATTCAACACCTTTGTTGTGTGGCAATTTTTGACTTGATATCTATGGTAAATAATGATGCTCCTAAAATTAGGCTACTGGACAAAAATCCATCGTTTTTGCCCACAATCCTAGCTATAATGAAAGAGACAAACAACAGGGAGATCGAGAAGTTGGGTTTGTTTATAATCCATCAAATAGCAGTGTGTGAACACACCAGAGATGAGTTAAGCGAACACTGGGTCATTATCGAGGTTGTTTCCAAGGTTGTCATTAAGAGGCAAGGTGAGCCGGTGAAGATGAGGCTTGCATTCCAGGTACTTGTCACATTGGCAAATATTTTGATCGCAAACGAAGAGCAAAAGGTTTTGAATGAGATTAGAAGTTATGGAGTAATAATGCCAACAATTGGTTGTCTTAAGTCGGGTATGTACAGTAGAACCATTTTCTTTAATGTCAAGAGATTGGGTATTGGCTTCTAATTAGGAACTCTGTATTTTTTTGATTTCCTAAACAAATAAACCATGCTAGATTACATACCTATAGGTAGTTAAATATAAAAATATATATTTATATATATATTAGAAGTTGAAGAGTTTTAATTTTGAGTGGAATTCATTTACCCTCACCTATTCCTGGCATTACCATCATATACACTTTGGTTTATTATATATATATTATATATATATATTATAATATATATATATATACACCCATTTGCAAAAATGTTGGCCGCAGATAGATATATAGATAGATACTCGAAATCTAATTAGAATTGCATATGTTGTGTAATATTATAGAAATCCCATGCAAATGTAATCATATGCAATTCTAATTAGATTTCGAGTATCTATCTATCTGCGGCCAACGTTTTTGCAAATGGGTATATATATATATATATATATATATATATATATATATATATATATATATATATATATATATATATATATATATATGCTGACAGCCAATAGTTAATTTTTAGCATCCCTATTTTTTCAGATGATCATGAGCTTATTTATTGGGCAGTTGGTCTTCTGCATGAATTTGTTGCCCTTGATGTTGGCTTACCTGATATCTGTTCCGTCCCAATACTATTGAGGTCTTTGAGCAGTGTTCTCGTCTCGAGTGAGGCCAGCATTCAGAGATTGGTTCTTCGGATATTGCGTTTCCTGTCTGAAAGTTCGGACGATTTTAGAGAGAAAATTATACGTCATAAGCAGCTTCTTGCACGTCTTCCAATATGCCTCGCTTCGGGCGACCGTGACGTCACCTCTTGGTCATTATATCTTATTCATGATATTGCTAAGTCAGGTAAGGTTGAGTTCTGCCTTATTATTTCATTTTCAGTCTGATTTTACAAGAGTGTCTTGGAGATGTCTGCATAAAAGATTAAAAGAATTTAGTCCTGTTACTCCTGTATACTATAGTCTTACCTCTCACGTACCGTTACTTCATCTTATATTCTTATAATATCATCTAACACTATCATCTTAACTAATGCGTACGCCCAGAACTGGGGAGAAAATACTTTGGGGAGTCTTTCTGCATAAATTCGCACATATACGAATCAGGTTCTGTTGATGGTCGAGTGAGGTGTTTTTCGTTCTGTCAGCCGTTACACTACAACGCCACTTATTGCAAAATTTAATGACAACGCTATTAGTTATATGGATTTCGAAGGAAGATTTATAGAAAGAAAATCTACCAATGTGATTGCAATTTTTAGCTGTAGTAATTTATTTTGCCATACCCTGGATCAATTTCATGGCGGAAAAATGAATCTCATTTCCCTTCTTATAAATTATATTTAGGCGTGGAAGCCATCGAGTTGTTATATGAGCACTCGAAGGGGTTAGTCGAAGCATTGGTGGAAATGTGTGGCAGGAACGTATTCAACCAAGAAGCTAACACTATGTGTCGTTACATCGCCGAAACATTGGGATTTTTCTGCTCTATCGGTAAGTGGTATTACGAATGATACAGCTACGTACTCACAATAATGGGTTATAGTATGAATATGCGATCTGATCGGTTGAGTCCCCACATATACGACAGTACGGTTGGCCTGGGAAGTACGCATGTACATACTACATTTGTTGCAACAGCTCTTGAACAGTTTATCTACCAGTATATATAGTGGTCGCAATTACCTTAAAACTATGCCCTTTTTGTAAACTCTTAGGTCCTGTCAATTTTATAAATAATAAAAATTAAGTTTAAAACAGAAATGCGACATTTAATGCCTAAATTTTGCTTTTTCAACCAACCGCGTTAAAATCATTTGCCGATAGAGACAATCCAGTGCCAAGTGGTCAAAGCAGGTGCTCTGAAAGCTGTCCTGCAGTTATCCATGATGGCTGATATCGATATGAAACTCTGGGCAACATCGCTGCTTCTCAATCTATCAATGTCTGCCGATGTACCGAAAGAAGAAATAATTAAAAGTGGCGGTGTCAAAGTACTTATCGATCTGGCCCTCAGTGAAACTGATGAGCCGCAGATTGCAACTCAGGCTGCAAAGACTTTGGTTATGCTGGGCTTTTTAGGTATGGAATAAAGAAGAACACATTCTTGTTTTCTGTATTATAACACAATCCGGAATTTGTTTCCATCAATGGTTGTGTGTATGTAAATTGAATTGCATGTGCACAGGCACTCACTTTTGACAGCAGGATTCCGAAACACTTGTTGGGAGGAGTGATTTCAAATTGTAACCTTGCACCCATTTGGGAAATGTTCTAAAAAATGAACATCTAGAACATCCCAGTCTTTTTTCCTTCGAAAAGAAAATCTGATAGAAACTTCACATGTGCATGGTCTACAGAACCTGACAGATATTTATTGTATAACGATAAAGTTGAAATATTTCGATGTATGCAGATCTCGTGACAAGATCCTATACCAGCGATTTTCTAAGCGCGTTCTGCAAATTCACGCATACGTGAATTTAGCCCGCGAGACTTTAGAGGACAAACCCTATTTGATTAATCATTGTCTGTATATTTTCGTATTGCAGACAGTCCTTTAAACGTCGAACTGAAGTCTTCGAGTAGTGCGTCATGTACCGTGGCAGTGGATGGCATTGAACACTGTCGCAATGATCTGGGTATCAATGTGGTAGTGCTTGATCCAGTTACTTTGAATGTCGAGGAGACAGAGTCGTTCGATACTGGGCATTTTCCAGACGCGTCCATTAAGTTGGCAGAGTATATCCACTCGTTACCTTTGTTGTCGATAGTGTTTATTGTAATTCGGGGAGAAGGGAATTTCTTTTTGTCAAGTAAGCTTAATAATTCGTTAATTCGTCAATGTGGTTTGCATTACTTAACTACACTGCGTTCTCTCTGTACTGCTCATCTGTGCGTCATGTCCGATTTATCTAAAGTCTTCATGATACTGTATAGCTACATGAATAATGTTTGTGCATTTTTAGACGAAGCAAAAGCTGCCTTAGACAGTGTTGGTATTCCTGAATATGAATTCGAGACAGGAGAGCTGTGGGTGTTCTCCGGTCAGAAGCGCTATGGTATGGAATGTTTCAGAGAACCACAGTTTAGACATGGATACGATAGCGTTGATCTAAAAGTCTGTATTCCCAGAGGTACTGGTATATGTATGCTAGAAATTTATATACTCCCATATAATTATGTATTTGCGTATTCGACGACAGTTTAATACCGGATAAAGCTGTATTCGCAGTCTGGATGAGTAAATTTGAGAATACTCTTGTGTCCAACTGGACGCATGCGCAGTTAGAGCATACTTTTAATTTCTTTCGCACGATAAGGACGTATTTTAATATGCAAATGAAAGAAGACTTATATGTTTTTAATTTCTGCGAATACAGCATTGCGGCAAACTGGCAAATGAAATGCATTAGTTTTTTCATTGATTCACCCTCTCACCAATGGTAATTCACACAACTACGAGTGGTTGCATTAGAAATTTCTAGTTCTAATACTGGCCTCACATCTTTTATCTATATATAGGTAGCTTCGTGAATGACCAAGTGAATGCTCTAATAATGGAACCTTTGATCGATATATTAATGAGCACTCCACCTGAAAGTGGCATCAGCAAAGTCTCTGAGCTGACATTATCAACAATATTCGCCAGGCACGACAGTCATCGAGTTGGTATGTGTATTGCAACCATGGCATGTGTTGTGGGCGGTTTTGCATCATAACTTTTGCGTCACAATCTTTTTTTCATAAAACATGTCTATAGTGCTATTATATAATCTCATTATAAACATTAAGTCACCTTATGACAAGGTTCATAATAATGAATTGATCGCTGCAAAAATCTCATCTCATCTTATAGGAGCGAATGATCAATTTAGCTACTTGAATTCCCTTCATTCGTTTACTATTGAAGCGTGTAATTATCGGATAAATATAGATCTTAAAATCCTCAAGCTTACTGTAATCATGAATATTGCTCTTTAACATTGATTGCTTTCTGGTAGTTTTGCTAGAGAGAGAAGGATTTCTTCCATATATGGCTCAAATTATTTGGAACATGGCTTCACGGTCGTTGGATGATTTACGCTCAAATACGATGTTAGTTGCGCATTGTCTTGGCGCGATGAGGACAGTGGCGGGTTTGATTATATCCGATACGGCACCAGAAAGGTACAGTTCATTTTAATATAATGTATTGTGACAAAATATACTGCAGTCTATACCGCACTGTTCAGCCTGACAACGCAAATTACGCCTACAAGAGTCGCCTGATCAGCTGAGTATCCCTTAAGGCCCGTTTACACTTCCCATTTTTGCTGCAATTTTGTGTGCGATTTTCTCCCTTGGACATATGTGAACGAGTAATTAGTTTCGAATGCTCTGATGAGCCCTTATTTGAAGATCAGTGACTAATTCACTCGTTCACATCTATCAAAAGAAGAAAATCAAAAATTGGAAGTGTAAACGAGCCTTTAGCCAAACACCACTGTCTGTCCTGCCAAAAAATATAAAGAGAAAATTTAAAGTCCACGATTGTCTAAAAGCTATGTGTGAAATCGTCATGTCCAACGAGTGATGTCATAACGTACTGTAGGATACGACTTTTTTCATTGACATTATGACGTCATAACGATGATTATCAATTCCAGCCTATGGCTTTGGTTAATAACGACAAACATCAGTTTGATAATTCTTCATATCATGTTCAACCCGATTCAACAATTGTTTTGTAAGACAGTTGTGGTTCTTGGGCATAAAAAGATTTATGATGTCCGTTGTTTCTATTCCAAACGTCACGTCACATATAGATGTGCTAGGCATGGTGTCTTGAAAGAGGTTTTGCGTCTTCTGTTCTTCATCAATGATACTTCGTTGGACGTCCAAAATGAAAAGACAGAAACTCGGAAAAGCGCGAGGAACAGCGAGCTGTCGTTTCTCAGAAATCCCATACCTGGTGTGGAAGAAAAGACTCCGTTTTCATCAGGTACGACTCTTTCTTTAGTGTTTCAGAAACAAAGTGAGAAATTCTGAGGTTGTATTTTTATACACGTCACATGTTAATATATACTTGTAGTGACGGACAGTCCAGCGACGCCCACACCCATGCAAGGTTTGGAAGAAATTTCACATGACGAAACGAAGTGCAATTATGAAGATTTGGAAGAATCTTTTGCCAGCCTTACACAATTGGCTGTTACCATACTGTTTCACAGCAGCAAGAGGCTTCAATTAGCTGACGACTCTATCTTCATCTCATTGTCTGTAAATGTTCTCTGGTGTACATTACTCACATGTAAAGACGAATTGAAAAGAGCTATATCAATTCCCATTGAGAACATCATCACGAGTCATGCAAATAGAAGAAAGTCGTTCATTGTACACCCAGGTACAGGGTATGCATATAATAAGATGATAAACTCGTCAGTTAGGGTTTTCTCCCCAGGTGTCATTGTATTTGCCTGCCTGCCTGGAATTTCTGCAATTATCTGAAGTGAGATAAATATCGCTAAACAATTGTTCAAAAGCCTCATAACTCAGCTTTAGAGGTGAGTCCGCATTATCCATGCAAATACTTGTATGATGATAGTGTTGCAGTATTATGCAAGGCTATTAGATTTTTTGTCTTTGATGTAGAGCGACCGTCTGTATGTCTTAATGGTAAAGAGAAAACACAGGCGCTGATATTGAGTTCCGACAAAACAGAGGTCATCAACTTTCACTGGACGTTCGAAAGCGTCCATGCAAATGCTGCAGTTGGTAGACGCAAGTACACATCGGGATCACCTAAACCTGCTGGATGGTATTATGAAGTACAATTGATGACTCAAGGGATCATGCAAATAGGTAAGTGGTTGGTCAGTGAAATTATATTTGATGTTTTAAAAGGCGAGTCAGTTAGTGTTTTCATTCAAATAGCGGAATTAAAAAAAAATGATGAAGTTTGTCAATGCAAAAGTTTTTCATTCAAAAATCGCTTTAAAAACCCGGTTAATGAACTGGAGCATGCGCAATAAATTTTCTGACTGCTCATATCGTTGGTATTTTACAAATGTCTGTTGCTGATATTTTCTGAGAAGAAGTTATGGCTTTGGTAGTGGAAGCACTGGTATTAGAATCATTTGGAAATTGGAATAATAACAATCATTCGTCCTGTTATTATCGTCCTGTTATAACCAATCATTAAAATGCTTTTGTGCTGAGTTGATTCTCACCACAATACTGGTAAGTCGCTGAATTGTTTATCAAGTTATCAACCAATCATCCATGTAGATGTATTAGGTAATATTTGTAGGGAAAGACACATACCAATCATAAATGTGGTGTTCGCAAGGATGATTAGAGATAATCTACACAAAGAATACATGCAGTATGGTTTATAGAACAGCCAAATTTGTTTGGAATAGAAAGAATACAAGCTAGTCAGGATGGGGGCCCTGATGTTTTTCAGTTATGTTAAATTATTTTCCAATCCATAAGGCACCGGTTGAAAAGTCTCTTTGCATTTGTTTATCCTTCTCCACTGAAAACACACCCTGAAGGCAAGCCCTTTGTATGTGCACAAGGTTTGTTATGGACATTGTGTATTAATAAAAGTTATATTTTCATTCACTATATATAATAAACATATACCGGTATGCCAATACTACTGTAAAATATAAATCACAAGCACAAAGCCCAATATCAGACATAGTTATCAAAATTCATACGATAGTACCTTATCATATAACACCATCCATTAGGGGAAAACCATATGTCCATTGTGATGTTTATATATATAATGATGCAAATAACACTTATATAAATCCTTAAAAATGTCACATTTGTAGGGGACAATTTTCCAGTTGTCATCCATTTGGTTGAGCACTCAAGACACATGCACCCACTGGAGAATCAGATAAAATCATATGAATGTGATATTTGGAGAAGACAATTCTCAAAATTGTGTGTATTTAATATGTACAAAAGTACACATACTGGTGCATATGAATGTGAAGTGTGCAAGAAACGATTTTTAAGACTATCAACTTTAGTAAAACACAAGAGATGTCACCCTGAACTCTCCAAATCAAGATATATATTACCAAAACCATTAACTCCATTGATGAAAGAAACAGCTTTTTCAGAACCAAAACATGTTTATGTACCGATAGAAAGTAAAGTTAGACTGTATGAATGTGATATTTGTAAGAGAAGGTTTTCCACCTCAGCTGCCTATGGTGGTCATAGGAAGGTACACTATAAAAAGTACCAGTGCAATGTTTGCAATAAAGCATTTTCAAATTTAAGCGACTATGCAGGACATAAAAAGAGTCACCCATTCATTAAACGTATTAGGAAGATCTTACCAAAACCATTAAATGGATCTGAAAAGTCGATGAGACCACCTGAACAAGCCAACTTTTTCTCAACAGATCATGGTGAAAGTACGCCAGACCCATTGGACAATAGACAATCCTTGACCCAAATAGATAATGCTCTTGCTAAAATGAGGTATATACTACCAAAACAAAGCCCTGTGCCCCAAAACATAACACCAAAACCTGTTGAACAGTCCATAAATGGCAACTCAACAGTTCTGATATCAAATAATGCGGTGGATAATCAACCAACAGACAAGACCAATCATTGTGATGTTTACCTGGCAAAATTTTCTGACCTTCCTGCTTCGAATGCCGACAAAAAAGTACACCCCATCTTGTTTGAATGCGATGTGTGCGAAAAAAGCTTTTTGTTCTCGAGAAGTTTAGAAGTTCATAAACTAGAACATGTTGCTGAGCCTAAATATGAGTGTGATGTGTGCAAGAAGACATTTACGACGTCAACAACTTTGCAGAAACATAGACGTGCCGAATGCAAGCCATATGGATGTAATATTTGCACATCTAAATTTCCGAATATAGAAAGTCATAAATTTCACTTGATGCGTTATCATAGAGACGAAGCAATATGCAAAACTTGTGGAAAGGAACTGTCAGGATCGCAAATTTTGCAAGAAAAGGTTGGTGTCGGTGATGGCGGTGAGGTGCTATTAAAGTTTGCCCATCCAATACTGGACAAAAATGGTAACGTTGTGTCCTATCAGTGTAGTTTCTGCCAGGAAATAGAAACGAGCGATGATACATGGAGTGTCTGTTCTCTCTGTGGATGTTGTTGTGGTAATTTCAAAGAACTTCAGGATCACATGTGTCTCCACAAGAATGATGTTGAAAAAGAAGAAGTTGGATAACTTAAGAATAAGAAACTTGTTTAGCAAAAAAGTCTTATTCGTAGTCAAATCTCTTGTTTACGTTGACGTTTTTCTTTTGAGAAAAGTCGTCCTACAGTGGGAAGTAAAAACTTAGCTAGCACATGCAATTTTCCTCTATGACTTAATGTATATTTATCATATATCTCAGACTAGCATGATCTCGCACCTTTCGACGAAATAAATTCCTCTGGCTCTGCTTGCAATAATGTATGTACCTGACTAAATAAAAGATTTGTTTTTAAAGGAGGTGATCAACCTCTCTCTAAACGGTCGTTAACCGGTTTGTTTAACAACCTCGCAAGCCAGGCTCTTTTACCTACGCTCCACGGCCCACGCTGCGGCAAAGACCCTGGTCAAGGCTGGTCACGTGATTCTTTTGTTACGCTTCTCCCGTGTGGGGATGGGTGGGACACAAGTAGCGCATAGATCACATTAGTTAAAACAGCGTGTTTCTAAGGACTGAATATTGAGCGCTGTTGTACCGCAAAGCGAAATAACCTGTGTCGTTATTGTTATTTGACCTCTAAATTTGCTCATCAACGCCCAAATTTAGAAGATAGCGCAGGCCTTCGAGTGTCTGTATTGAATATCAACTGAACTTGTGACGATACTAAAACCGATTCTATCGACGATGATACAGTCTACACATAGCACTTGAATCTAAATTCGGTTTATTGCTCTTTTTAGTTTTTTGCTGCGCCACACTAGCTGTATTTATTTAGTTTATTCAACTTTATTGCGTGAACCGCTATTTTTGGTTGCGTTAGTACAAAGTCATCTGGATTGTGACAAGTGCTAAAAATAGCAGAAATGGTATATCGACTTTGCCACTCCTCCCATGGATATGAACTAAGCGCTAATTAAAAACCTCCCATTTTGGGAGGTCACATGACCAGCCTTGACCAGGGTCTTTGCCGCAGCGTGGGCCGTGGAGCGTAGGTAAAAGAGCCTGGCTTGCGAGGTTGTTTGTTTAAAACTCAGCTTTTTGTGTACTGTCAATTTTCACGTATAACTAATTAATGGCCTGATAGATGACTTATTAACACTTACATGATTATGGCCCTTAAACATTGAGCTAGTCAAAAAGGTTCGAATAACTAATATTTTAGAACTCAATCTAGTCCCTGAAATTTTCAAGCGACCGTTTCTTATGTCGCCTTTATGTTCCCTGTAAGGTTTAGCGCAAGATCAGCCTAACTTTCCACCCTGTTCCTGGTTAAGTCACGTTAATTTTGCAGCTTGGCCTGTTGGTAACACCGATGAGCATCATCACAAATTCACAATATTAAATTCACCTGAGTCATGATCACGTGCCTAATATCGTCGAGTTTTCGAAATCGATAAAAGAACAAAAATTCCCCCTGTAAAAAATACCCTCTTTGTCTTCGGGCCTGTCTCTAAGGGGATCATTATTTTTACTGAATTCGTATTAAATCACTCCAATCGTTTGTATTGTAACGAATCCTAGGCTGGCGAACGAGTAAGTGCGAATACAGTCCGGAGAAAGGCAATGGTGTTGGTGACGATTTACATTCCTATGCATTTGACGGTGCTCGGCTCAAAGTTTGGAACGGTCCAGGGTGTCGAATGGCAAACAATGATTATGGTGAAATGTGGGCAGCAAGCGACATCGTAAGCTGTTTATTATCATGGGGCGGTGACATAGAGTTTTGGTTGAATGGCGTGAGTCTTGGCGTAGCCTTCGAAAATGTCAATACCGAACTGGATTTCTACCCTGCTGTTTCTCTGGCGATGGACCAGCATTGTTCCTTCAACTTTGGGGGTGATCAACCATTTAGGTACTCATGCATTTCATACAGAACCTTTGTGCAATCTTCATGTTGACTTCGAGTTTCTTGCATTCTTGTGTTTCGAGTGAGCTCCCTACCCCTCATTTTAAGTATTTTTTGAATTGAAAGGAATTCCTTCCTCTCGCCAACAGCATCAACTCGGAGGTCATTTTCAGCGCACCCCAATTTCTGAACGAGGAGATGGTCCATTTGGGGGAAGGACATTCTCCATTTAGGGAACCCCCCCGGGGAGCCCCCCCCCCGGGGCCCCCCCCATCCCCCTCCATTATAGCTCATTTGATATATGGGGGGAAATCACGATTTTTTAGGGCAATTTCTCCACCCCTCTCGCGCAAAATGCCCCTGAAACCCTCCAATTGATTTCGATATTCATAGATACTCCATGCCAGAAGGATATATTGCTGTCAACGACGTGTTTGAAAAGAAAGCATCCCTTAAACGGCCTCGTTCGAAGTCGTATACAAAGGGAAGTTTTGAAAGCATCGCTGAAGAAGACGAGGAATGCGTTGAAGATGTAAAGAATCTTCGTAAGTTTTTACTCTGCTGTATGTATTATAATATATTCTTCGCTTAATCTACGATGAGAGTCAAATTATTTCAGGCCAGCTATAACCGTTGTACTATTACGTGTAACACAAGTTGCTTTTCCCGAGATCAGCAAATTCCGTATATTCTTAGTCAAGCCATGATGTAGATTTTGCATGGGAAGAAAGAACGTATCAACTCGTGCTGTTAACGTGACGTATTGTTGTTCACGGCGGTTTTCAACCTCATTTAATCCCTTTTTGTAGAAATTGCTCGCCTACAGCGGTGCTGTAGTAGTGAGCCGTCTCTACATGGTCATGAGAACAGTAGCTCCTGTCCAAACGAGGCGACGAGAAGGTTATCAACATCCACGAACTACAATTCTGAGCGTCCTTCAACGCCTCTAACTCCTATGTCGTGGGCTTCTTCAACGCCGTCCACACCATTCACACCCATCACACCGTTATCACCATTTTGGTCGCCGGCGTCATCACGTAACACTCCAGGTAAATTAATTATATCCCAAGTGTTCGTCTTTCTTTCGAACAGATCTTTAGACTGCGTAATCTACCCTGCAAGAGGAATTTTAAAAACGCAATGGTGATAGTGGTATGAGCTTTCGCGGAAGGAAGACTTCATTTTTTATCAGAAAGCCTTACCTTGCCGGCACAAAAATTCGTTGAAAGGTATAGCCAAACCTCACTCAGTAAAATTGATGCGACTTTTCAAACATTTTAACATTGCTATCCCGATGGATTTAAATTAAATTCATAGTATAGTGATAGATGGCGAATTGTAAAAATTACAAAAGTACTGAATATCTTTTTGTTTAGATCTATTTTCTGGCATTCCTTGCGTGTATTTCGAAACTGAAGTTAGGGAATGCGGCCGTCGAGCCTGGAATGTTGGTTACTACTGCCAGAAGTCGGGCGAGCATTGTTCATGCGAGTTCCACGACGGCCAAACGATGTCCTTTCCCTTATGGCTAGGCAAGAACGCCGATGTCGTGCGAGCACCGTCAGTAATTGGCTGCGGCTTACTGTGGCCCGATGGAGTGTTTCTTACTTTAGACGGAGTGTACAATAACACCGTGTATCCGTTTAATGAGGTTGGCTTCGAAGAGGGAGAGTGTCTGCCTTACATTACCCATTCTAATGTCAAGGTAAACTACGGACAAGAGGAGTTCCTTATGGAAAGAGCAAACACTCATGGACAACGTGTTGCCTCTGCGCAGTTACTGCATTCCTTTTCACGTAATTTGTTGGAAAAAATGTGAAGCACATTTTTCTTTTTACCTGCAGAAACTGTTTCCTGCAAATTTATTTCTTTGTTCAAAAATTAAAGAAAAGACACTTTGCAGGAAATTGCAGGCTAGTGTACATGTACTGTAAGAAAGTTTAATAAAAGTTTTGTTTTTTAAAGATGTATGTAGATCGTTTAAGTTGTGACCAGCCCCCATACATATAGTAAATTATATTGGCATTGTAAACTAAAATAAGCTATTTTTTTTATTCCCCACTGAAAAAATGGTAGTATGAAGGAAAATTATAAGAAATGCCTGCAACTCACCCCTGTGGCACTACCCTAAAATTTAGGCATTCAAAATTTCAACCCTATCTTTGGGTGAAAGGTGTAATTTTTTAAACATTTCACGAAATATCCAAATACAAATGTGTCATTTTTTTAGCTTCTTGTGCAATCCTCCAATTTAAGGCCACATGCAAGCAGTTGTCAAAGAAAATGCTTTTTGGTTACAAGAGATAGCTGTGGTGGAGTGTTAACTGGTTCCAACTTATTGGCCTCAATGAACATACATCCCGATGTTCATGAACATACATCCCGATGTTCATGAACATACATCCCTATGTTCATGAACATACATCCCTGTGTTCATGATAATTCAAGAGACAAAATTATAATGCCAATAATCACCATACCAATATTTAAAGATCTCAAAACAAAGATATATATTTGGAAAATCATGTGGTAACTTCAGTCAACATTCAAACAAGTTAATAATGCCCAGCTTTTCACTATATTATAACTTCAAATGTACTGGTTGTTCAGTCTTCCAGCCCATTTTCTCCAACAAACAGGTATCATAGAATCCCTGAAGCTTTCTGCAGTAACCAAATTCTTGATTGTTTTGATCCAGGCATGTCCAATACTTGGCGAATTCGTCGTTACAGTTCGCTTTCACAGTTTTAAAAAATCCTAAAGCACAGCTTGTCACTTTTCGCCCCTCCTCTAAACATTTTCTTGGGTCCCGGGTATCGTATCTGCATGCCATAAACTTTTTAAAATCCTCTTCGCACTGCTTGCCGAGATGGTGTGCTCCGGCCATGAGAACTGCGGACGTTACGTCCAACTCTTCCACGTTCAGTTCTTCGTCAGGTACACTTTCTGTCTGCTTGCTCATTTTGCTCAGAAACTCTGATCTAAAACCACATACAACTCGGGAATACAGGCAAATATCAGAAAGAAAAACTTGAAATACAAAATGGCGAAAACGTGAAACGTCGTTGTGTTAGCCCAGCGGCTGAGCAAGAAATGCTAGAAATAGCCCGTGAAACATCCGGTTTGCGGTAATCACTCGACACAAATTCATGTACTTAATGTACTTAAGGTCAAACCGACTCGAACTCAAACGAGCGACAGGAGGAAAACTGGAGGATTTCCAACTAGACAAATTCTATATTCTCATAGAAGGATGATTTTGATTGTAATATTTTTCCTTCTGTCTATTCCAAAACTTCCCGTTGCCTTGTCATCGGCTGGAGAGTGTAAGTATACTAAAATATGTGTATTATGAACTGAATTGTTTATATATTAAATTGCGTTTTATACATTTGTGGAAATATTTGCTCGAGTAATTTATATGCAGCCAGGAAATTGAAACAGCATTCACTCTTGCACTATGTTCAAAATCAAAGAGAATTTAAATTAACACTATAAAATATATACACGCAATAATACGCTAAATATTCGATAAATATATAAATAAATATTTAACAATTAGTCGCCGAAGGCGAGGTGATTACAAGCCTATATTCACTGAGCCGAAGGCGAAGTGAATATAGACTTGTAATCACCGAGCCTGAGGCGACTAATTGTTTTAGTATAATTTCAGTATTGAAAAAGTTTTATTTATAAATACAACTGATACACGTGTTTATTTTATGAATATAATTTTGATTTTGAGTATTTTCAGCCATGTTTTTTTGGGGAAAAGCAATAGTTACTGCTCAAACTGCTCTGAGCAGTAACTATTGCCTCAGAGTTACTGCTGAGGGAGCCAATCAGAATGCTCAAAGGCCATTTTTCAATACTGAAAATATACTAAATATATATATTCCACTTTGCAAATTTTTGAACCTGGCACAAATTTCCTTGTAATTGGCTGAAAAAACACTGTGTGACACAACTAAATGAAATTAAGATTATATTATGTAATTGGTAATTGCTATTGGTACACCCTCTCCCAGCTGCCTTACTTCCTTTACCCTTGCTGGAGGACACAAGATTCTAATTACATGTTATTATAAACAAAGGTTTAGGGTTGACTAAGGGTGAACAGCAGCGTACGACTACGAGAGATGATAATTGGGGGAGGGGGCACATATTCATGTATTCATGTTGTGCAAGATTAATTTCTTTTCAAATCCATTGTCTTTACAGGTCTGTTAACATGAATATATGAATATGAGGGTGAAATTATTCATTTTGAAAGGAATTATAATTAATTACATAATTAATATATATAGCGAGACTTCTGTTTCCAGTAGAGAGCGAAAAAGGTTTTGCGATAGTTTGTTAAACAAAGAGAGTATATTAAAGGGTTATATAAATAACAATTTGGGGGCTATGAATGGTTGCATAACTTATATAACATGACATCAAATGAATGATTGCATCCCCTGTATCAGAAGCGAGACTTTTTCCAGTAGAGAGCAAAAAAGGTTTTGCAATAGTTTGCTAAAGAAGAGAGTATATTAAAAGGTTCATTGCAAAGGTACAATTAAAAAATGCGTGTAATAATCGTTGACCGTAACTTTCTTCTTTCTTCAAAATCCTGCACGCAATTAAGAAAGGAACAGTGCCGATCACAGCAATAAACGCCAGGAGAAGTATTTTATTTAAGAACTTCTTCTCCCTCGAGCTCAACGCACGAACTTGTCTCGAGGCATGTAATTATTATGCGAGGCTAGTTTTCGTGCTTGCTTCCGCGAGAGGTCAGGACATACAGCGAGCCTGTGACGAACATCATTATCATTCCCGTATGAAGATATTTAGAATCAACCTCGTATGACGCAATGGATTCAGCAGATAAGAACTGTTTCACGGTATGCCATAAGACACGTAACTTTCGTTATTTCGAATATTGCTACGAGGAACGAGGGATATAATCAGGTTTCTGATTTGTGAAACATACCAGTGGAGTTCATTAAGATAATGATGTTTGAATGGAAAAGCAACCATCAGGAACTTGTCTGTGGCTGTTAATTGAGACGATCGATGCCATAGATACACACATACACAATGTAGAACGCCAAATAATGAAGAAGCTCTAGTGTACTTTTGATATTTCGAATATTGCTACGCTCGAGGGATATAATCAGGTCGGAGGCGCCGAGATTAGTAACGAAGTACGTCGCAGAATTTCTGGATCTTTAAGAAAGCCGATCAAAAGTAGCAAATGGAAAATGATACCGCAGAAGCATATGATATATCTCAGTAAGTCCCTGAAATTGAAGTCAAAATTCATCTTGCATGAGTCAGCATGACTTCTAATTTCGAAGTGTCAACCTTCTGATGCGCAGTGAAAATGCTGCAATTATAGCCTGCTGCTCGCAGACTGATTAATGTCTTCCTGCAAGAATAATTACTTTACTTTCTGTTTGAACAAGTTGTAAGTTTTAAATTTATTTATATTTTTATTCGCTGAATGAAATTGAAAATGGTATTCGACGAATTAACGAACGAAAAATGAACGTTTTAATGCCAAGAATATATCACATTATCATTTTAACATTAGTAGCTAAAAATTTTAAGGTGTCGAATATTATACGGCCATATTTTAATATGTCCAAAATTGTATGTGTACTTCATATGTTATTAATCAAGATAAAGTTTATTAAACGTATGAAGCTATGTTTATTAGATTTTAATTTAGAACTTAAAATGGCTAAAAATACATAGTGAATATCAAAAACGGCGTTTTTTTAGTCACCCTTTCTACCAAAAAAATATTGGACTATCTCGTACCCATAGCTTGCCGCGCCAGCAACTCGAACCCGCGAAAGAGCGCGAAAATAAACTAAACAAAATGGCTCACGGTCACAGCACCGATTTGCTCGTCCCGATGGAAACGTCATGTACACGATAAACTTCGTTTACCCGCTTTATACGTACGTTTCTGATGTCTTTAAATGTGTAATCAAAACAATTACTGCATGAGTTCGCCTTTTGCTTGATATCAAAAATTATTCAGACCTCGGTCAATGTTAACTGCCTCATCTTCGCTTTGCCTTTGGTAATCAAAATTACGTGTATTTTGCGCTATATGATATTGAGCATGCACTCTCTGATATTTCGTGGACCAAACTACACTATATTTACTGATAATATATATGTATAAGTTGATACATGATAGGTTATATCTGATATCAGAAGACATGCAATCCTCCGTGTTAACTCTTGCTGGTCGTTTCACCCAGCAGGCCCTTCGCTATATTAAGACATGCTTAATATGATGGTTGTTGTCTACATCGATGATCTCAGCGTCTCCGGTACAGTGCACGAAATGCCTTACGATAGTTAGATAAACGCAGTAAATATATCAGAGGATTTACGGCAAAAGTGCAGTAGAATAAAACCTGTAAAAAATTATGAAATATTTCAATGACGGGTTCTAATCCCGTCTTGTAATTTCTCCTCCTGAGAACACTGTGCATGACCAAGTAAGGCGCTATACCAATAACTGTAATGCACGCCACCAAAGCAATGGTGTTCAGGAACCGTCTCTCTCTTGACGTTCGAGCTGCTTGTGTACGATTCGACCCGGCATCCGGGTTGTAGGACTCTAAATTTCTCGCTTGGATTCGCAACGAGCGAGTTGTCATTACGTACAGAAAACCTGTCAAGAGCGAAAATACTACTCCAGCATAAAGTTCCAAGGAACTTGCACCAAATGAAACAATTGGTTGTGAAAAAAAATCATTTATTTTGGCGCTCAAAGGTACAATCCAACACAGTAGCACCCAAAGGCCTATTTTTTTGCCGTTCGTGAAGAATTTGTGTTTAAATGGACAAGCGACGATTAGATATCGATCTAATGCGATCGCAAAAATTGTCACAGTCGACACAGGTATGACTGTATGCCAAATGA